CTGTTGACAGCCAAGTATAACAAAAGTGCTTCATACAGTCAAAAAAGCTAGAACCATCAGGCGGTTTAATATTGAATACACCTTAAATAAATATACTGTATAGATAAAACATAAGGGACATCTTTGGGATAGTGATAGACACTCATATATTGAATCGAAACTTAATAACTATCACATCCTTTGGGACTATATAAGGTTAATAAAGAAAATTGAGGCTGTAATGTGGATCTGCCTCATGTGTATTTTGCACATTCTGTGTGTTCCTTATGTCAATTTGGGATACCTTTTGCTCGACTTCTCAGAAATCACAACCCTAATACATGTTGAAGGTCTTGGTTATTGCTCTAGGTTGACATTTCGCTCAATATCCCCACTGACATGAGTAAACAGTCACTGTTCAGTCAACGTCACCTTGAACAGCCCTGACCACAGACTGAAGAACTCATAGGTTATTGCTTTAAGATGAAAGCGTTTCTCTTGTGTAAAGTGCATTTCAGATACCCTATAATCAAAGTCCTGCAGCCATCACTTGACGTGTGTGTCCATCCTCTTTTCTCCAAGTCTTGCTCAGAACTCACATCAGTGGGTTTGATGGATCTGACAGAGGGAAGTAAGACAATCCAAACACTGATCTCAGACTATTTCCTGAGATTTGGTAATAATAAATAATGAAATGAAAGATCTGCACACTGCGACTAAGGTACAATAAAGTCAAAGCGCAGACATTTGGGGCAGAGCCTTTTCTCAGCATGTAAAAACAAACTACAGGCCCACAAGCGACCCACACATAAACACATCCACATGCAGGAGGTTTAACACAACATGTCATCATAATCATTATCATCATCATCGTGTTGATGGCACAATGGGCCGGTATACAGCGGATGTCTGCAGAGAGAGTCAAAATATACTACAGTAATCAAACCACAAACAGACAAGAGTCTACAGCCATGCAAGCAGTTCTGTGAGGCTGAACTTAAACACAGCTGCAGTTTGAGCTCAATACTCACATCAGCATGCTAACATGCCAGCGTTAAGCAGGTATAATGTTAATGTTTTTTGTAGTTTTTGTTTTTTCCATTGTTCATTATTGAAATCATACACTGATATGAAAAGAAGGAAAACAAACTTTAAAAGGCTTTCTGTGTTAAATGTGGTGACATATAATCAAATATTTGTATGTTTCTTTCTAATAAATTTGAATTTAACAGAGTCCTATAACAACTTTAGTCCCTCTGAAATTGATAATCTTGTCGATAGTGCTACAGGCTCACTACGATCAACATTAGACTCTATCGCTCCTATAAAAAGGAAATTATTAAAACATAGGAGACTAGCACCTTGGTATAACCACCAAACCCGCCAGTTAAAGCAAATAGCTAGAAATCTGAAAGGAAATGGCGCCTTCCAAATTATCAGAATATCGCTCAAATTGGCAAGATGATCTTAAGATTTATAGAAAGGCCCTCCGTAATGCCAGAGGAGCCTATTACTCAGCACTAATAGAAAAAATAAGAACAACCCTAGGTTCCTCTTCAGCACTGTAGCCAGGCTGACAGAGAGTCACAGCTCTATCGAGCCACATATCCCCATAAACTTAAGTAGCAATGACTTCATGAGCTTCTCTATAATAAAATTATTACTATTAGAAAAAAATTAATCACCAACTGCCATCAACAGTTATCAGTGGCTCTCCAAGTTCAGGGACTTCTGTCAATGTAAACTTAGATGTATATTTAGACTGTTTTTCTGCTATCGATCTTCATCAGTTAACTTCAATCATTTCTTCATCGAAGCCATCAACCTGTCTGTTAGACCCGATCCCAACTAGGCTGCTTAAAGAAGTTGTTCCCTTAATTGGCACTTCTTTACTGGATATGATTAATCTTTCTTTATTATCAGGATATGTACCACAGTCCTTTAAAGTAGCTGTAATTAAACCCCTTCTTAAAAGTCCACTCTTGACCCAGGGGTTTTAGCCAACTATAGACCGATTTCTAACCTCCCGTTCCTCTCTAAGATTCTGGAGAAAGTAGTCGCCAAAGAGTTGTGTGACTTTCTACATAACAATAGTTTATTTGAGGATTTTCAGTCAGGATTTAGAGTTCATCATAGCACAGAGACAGCTCTGGTTAAAGTTAATAATGACCTTCTGACTGCTTCTGACAATGGACTTGTCTCTGTACTTGTATTATTAGATCTTAGTGCTGCATTTGACACCATTGACCATGATATTCTTTTACAGAGACTTGAGCATCAAATTGGCATTAAAGGAACTGCCCTAACCTGGTTTAAGTCATACTTATCAGATCGTTCTCAGTTTGTACATGTTAACGATGAATCCTCCATAAATACTAAAGTTAGTCATGGAGTTCCACAAGGTTCTGTACTTGGACCAATACTATTTACTTTATATATGCTCCCTTTAGGCAACATTATTAGGAATCACTCCATTAACTTTCACTGTTATGCAGATGATACGCAGTTATATCTATCAATCAAACCCAATGAAATTAATCAATTATCTAAATTACAAACATGTCTTAAGGACATAAAATCCTGGATGACCTGCAATTTTCTGATGTTAAACTCAGAAAAAACCGAAATTTTTGTTCTTGGCCCCAAAAACCTTAGAGACTCATTGTCTAAAGATATAGTCACTCTAGATGGCATTAACTTGGCCTCTAGCACCACTGTCAGGAATCTTGGAGTTATCTTTGATCAGGATTTGTCATTTAACTCCCACATAAAGCAGACCTCTAGGACTGCCTTCTTTCATTTACGTAATATTAGAAAAATTAGACACATACTATCACAGACAGATGCAGAAAAACTAATCCATGCATTTGTTACTTCAAGGCTGGATTACTGCAACTCTTTATTATCAGGTTGCCCCAATAAGTCCATTAAAACGCTCCAATTAATTCAGAACGCTGCAGCACGAGTACTGACAGGAACTAGAAAAAGAGATCACATCTCTCCTGTACTAGCTACTCTGCATTGGCTCCCTATAAAATGTAGAATTGAATTTAAAATCCTCCTCCTCACCTATAAAGCTCTTCATGGTCAGGCCCCTTCATATCTTAAAGAGCTCATAGTACCCTATTACCCCACTAGAACACTAGGTTCTCTGAATGCTGGGCTACTTGTGGTTCCTATAGTCTCTAAAAGTAGAACAGGAGCCAGAGCCTTCAGTTACCAAGCTCCTCTCCTGTGGAACCAGCTTCCAGTTGTGGTTCGGGAGGCAGACACCCTCACCACATTCAAGAGTAGGCTTAAGACATTCCTCTTTGATAAAGCTTATAGTTAGGGCTGGATCAGGTGAGTCCTGAACCATCCCTTAGTTATGCTGCTATAGGCCTAGACTATTGGGGGATTTCCCATGGTGCACTGAGCTACTCTCTTCCTCTCTCTTTCTGCACTCATTCATGTCCCTTTAATGCATGTTACTAACTCCACTTCTTCCCCGGAGTTCCTGTGCTTTCTCGTCTCGCAGGTTCTCATGGATCCTGGTGGAGCCTCCTGCCATGGTCCTGCTTGACTGCCATTGCCAATACTGTTGTTGCTGTGCATCTGTCTGTCTGTCTGTCTGTCTGTCTGTCTCTCTCTCTCTCTCTCTCTCTCTCTCTCTCTCTCTCTCTCCACCCCAACTGGTCGAGACAGACGACCACCCACCTAGAGCCGGAGGATCTGTCCTAGGTTTCTGCCTTTTAACAGGCAGTTTTCCTTGCCCTTGTCGCCAAGTGCTTGCTCATGGTGGTACTGTTGGGTCTCTGTAATTAATGTTAAAGAGTTCGGTCTAGACCTGCTCTATTTGAAAAGTGTCCTGAGATAACTTCTGTTATGAATTGGCGCTATACAAATAAAATTGAATTGAATTGAATTGAATTGAATTAATACTGTGTGTTACTTGTGTAGATATGTATACAGAAGGCCATTCATTCTCAAATTATTTAATGAGCCAACACTGAATCTTAAACTTTCTGGGTGTTCTCTGATTCATCTGTCAAGTAAACAAAATCCATCTGTCCACTCACTCATTTCATCCTGCTCAGGGTTGCTGGGGACTAAATTTAGAGACTACAGATCATCTGAGCTGCATAGTTTAGGATTTTAGGAGTAAACCGAAGCAAATTCTAAAACCAAACTTCTTGCTGAGAAGCAACTGTGCTAACAAAAGTCACCTTTTATGAAAACCAAAAGTTGATTATGCTCTGCAATCAAGAGTCAAACACACATCTACCGTAACAGCAGGGCTTTCAGTTCATTCTCATCCTTTATGCTAAAATTGACACTGACACATAATGTTAAAGCATATACAGCACACATAAAAAAGATATTAAAGGAATGTTAATGACCTTTTTCTTGCAGTTAATATCCCCTAAATATTAAACAACAATTACAATACAGAGATCACAGATTTGAAACAGTGCATTTACTGTAAAAATAACAGTAAATGCACTGTTTCAAATCTGTGAATTGAGCTTTAGCAGCATTGTGTAGAACAACAACAGCCAATAGTTGCTTCAGTCCCAAGACAATAAATTCACTGCCACTTCACAAAGTGATGTTGGTATGTGGCTCGAGTAAAGCTGAACTGTTGTTTTTTTTGGCAGTTTGGACTGTTTGTGTTAGTAAGGAAGTTCAGAGAGAGCAACTACTGATACAAAATACAAATCTGTCCAGCACAACTGTCCTTTCTCTCTGCAATCTTGATAATCGCATAAATAATAATTCAGTTACTTTAGAAATGGAGGATTAGCTGAGTTATCCTATACAAACTTAGAAAACAGAGTCAGGTTTATTGTTAAGTAGGTTTTCACATAGAATGAATTTGCCTTTGCATATGGGTGCATAACAGTAAACATGTTACAAGAAAAACATGAATAATAATATAAAAAAAGATGAAAGCAATAGTATCTAACCAAATAACCATGATGCATAAAACTGAAAAAAGCAGTATACCGGTAGATGGTTTTGTAGCATCTTGATTTACTCACCAGAGGGGGCGCTCTCACACTCCTGTAGGTTACACTTCTGGAGGCTCTCAGGCTGCGGCTCATGGTCACATTGAGCTTGATCCACTTCTTCATCTGCCCTTGTGTTAACACATTTGATGAGCCGACGCTCAACTCCTCCACCGCAGGAAGCTGAACACTGCAGAGAGAGTTGTGAAAAATATTTGAAATAGCAAAAAAATGTTTTGTATGTCATTATTTATAATACCTTTTTTTAATAATAGACTTAGGTTGTCATAACTTTTGTAGTTTTGTTGTGATGATCTTTCAATTTTATCTGTGTTGCTGGACCCTTCTCTTCCCCTGTTACTTTGATTGAGACTGACAGGGCACTGAGTTCAGTAGGTTCATCATGCAGTGACCGATAACTGATGGCCAAAACCAAATGTCATTTCAGTTCATTACAACAAGGCTGAAACTGTTGTTTTGGGTTTGCCTAGTACATGCAATTTATCAAAGGTCAGAGGTGCATTTTAGGGACTGAATGCTTTATTTTTCATTTAGGACTTGTATTGAGTTTGATTCAGATCTTTATTTTTCCACAAGACAAGAGAAAAACACTTAAACACACTTTAACAATTAAAGACATTAGTGCTGTACTATGTCTGCAGTTAAGAATCTACTTCTTCTCTACTTTATGTCAGTCAAATCTGGCAACACAGGATATATTCTCATTATTTGGACATATTTTGACATATTGCACACAGTAAGAAGACAGTTTGACAGCAACTTCTTCTGTAAGCATTACCTTGTGCTGTTGTTTACATGGGATTAATTCCCAGTGTCATAATTCACAGAGTGGGTCAGGTTAAAATGAGATGATTGCATACAGCTGTTTGACTGTGTACAAATCTCAGGGATAATATTGATTTGAGCTACATATGCTAACCCACAGTTAGATAATATGCTATTGTCTGTGCATTTTTAACCACCGCCTCTTAATCAATGTGACAAAAGGTAAAAATAGAACAGGATGTGTAGGATTTCATCTGATGCCAGTTAGTTAGAGAAGTCAATTCTAATTCTAGACACAGAAGGTTAATAATGAAGGTAATTTGAGAGGCTACGTCGTCTAACATAAACCTGTACCCTTCAGAGTCTAGTCATTTATTTTACATTGCTTATCCGGGTCTATGTGATAGTTTTCATACACTGTCTTTTATCCGATCAATTTATCCCACGTGTGGCTACTCTACACCCATCAACAATCCAACATTTCCCTTTATTTCACTGGTCACTCCCAAATCCTTTTATCAGCCTCCCTGTCAGTATAGAGCTGTACACAGTATTCATCATGATGCTTTATTATTTTCTTTCAGTGTGAAGTGATGCTCCTCCACCTTTGTTTCCTCCCCACCCACACCCAGTGACCAGGACCTCAGAGGTTTACGGCTAATCTTCATGTCCTTTATGTCAACTCCATAACCACACGTGCTCCTTCACTCTGTCATAAATGTGTTATGAATAAACAAATTAATCAGTATTATCTGGTTCCCCGGGTTAAACTGTACATTCTGTGTGGCGTATCGTGAACCATGTTTTATAGGTTTTCTGTCTCTTTTCTGTTTCTATTACAGATTTAGAAACTGCACTGACTCTCCAAAAGGATTGCATTTTTTAAAACACTGTATGAATTATCCTGTGACCCTGAACGGGATCGAGAGAGGTTTAGAAAATAAATAGTAGGATGGTTGTCATGAATTATTTATTGATTTGTATGCAAGATCTTTAAAATGCAATTTAGATCCTTTGTCCCCCCCGGTAATAATACCACATCAAGTTTAAATCAATGACAGGGAATTACAGTCCTCGTGAAATTGGCCTATGAATCACACATCATGCCAGATAATTTATTCTCCCTTGTTTTGAGCGTTTTTTTGTCTGTTTGTGTGTGTGTGTGTGTGTGTGTGTGTGTGTGTGTGTGTGTGTGTGTGTGTGTGTGTGTGTGTGTGTGTGTGTGTGTAGTGTACCTGTCCCCAAGATCCAGTAAGCCACTGAGTACAAGACTGACTATTACATGATTGGATGTTGCTAGGCTGCAGGTCCCTGTTGCATCGATCCTCCTCTGGACAGGTGACTATCCGCTGCTGCTCACCCCCTCCACACACCTCAGAGCACTGAACAACACACATGCACAAAATAAAACTTTTGACCTGTTCTCTGCACTTACTGCTAAGGTTTCACAGTGGAGGAAATAGTACTAAGAGGTTTCTATGGGTGTATTTTCTATAGACAATGTGCATAATTAAAAGATAATACCAGTACTTTTGCATGAATCACCAATGCACTGCAAATTGTCCTTACTTTACATTAGACAGACTGTTGGTTTCTATATGCTTAAATGTATTTTCTTAACTTCCAAAGAAGCCACTGGCTTTTGTTCATTTCAGCACATAAAAGAGTTGCAGAGACTTCAAATAAATAATCCATCAATTGTGACATTTAGTCATTCTTGTTACATAATAATTGCCTGGTAATTCAGTTGAAAGCACATATTGTTCTGAAATGATGAAGTGGAGTTCTCTTTGGTGAGTACTCAGGATACTGAAATCCTTAACTTCTTAACAGCAAACCTTTTACTGCGTTATGCCATCAAATTTATATTTTTATTTTCATGACAAAAATAGTATATTTAATAGTTGCCTGTCCTCTGTGTTTGCCTTTCCAACAGTATATGAATGATCACGCTTAAATCTCCTAATCTCCCTCCACCTACTTGTATGCATCAACCCAGAAGACCAATGCACCATTAAAACACAACAATCACAACAATTAGATCATGTTTATAAAAAACAAACAAGCAACTTTTAAGTGTCTGCAAATTTATTTTAATTCTGGTGTGAAATAAATAGGAAAATAGGCAGAAATGCATTCAGAAATCTATTAAAATGCTTTCAGGAGAACGCTGCATGTTGTCAGATAAACATATCAACATTTCCTTCCATTTTATCCTATTCAAAAATCAGAGAGTACATTACCGCATCTTTTCACAGTCTTTTTCATTATTTTGCTAACTACTCACCTGACCCCAGGAGGAGGAGTACCACTCAAGACATGGCTGAAGGTTACAGGGAATCTGGGTTTGTGGCCTGGAGGACATGGCCCTGCAGTGGAAAGGTCGTAGGGGTCTTTGATCCCGCATGTCAAAACACTGGACCTCTCGTGATTTAACACCACCTTCACAATTCTTGGAGCACTGGGAAAAGACATGCCACGATTGTTATTCAAACAACATGAGCTACTACTTTCATCCCATAGAGTCATTTCATAGTCAAGGCAACTGGATTTTCTATGTGGTTTTAATGGGTTTCATCACTCATCTAAGATGTTTCACTGTTATGAACTCAGCTGAAGTGATGGATGATTAGCAAAATGTCTTCAAGAACAAATAGCAATTCCAGTTGCAACTGACTTACGACATCTGAATAACTTAAAATATTTATAACAAGAAAATCCTCTTAGGACAGCCTTTATACTGAAAGCACTTCGGACTTGTCCAGAACTTAGAATTAAACACAAAGTGTAGCCGACGGTGATGGGCATGTTATTATTTTTGCAGGTATGTGGTCATAGTGAAATTCTGACCTGATGGTGGTACTAGAGGAAAAGTTAAAGGATTATTAAAGTCAATTTGTGAGGGGAGCATGAATGATCTGTACAAAATTCATGACAATACACCCAAACATTACACTCAGTACCACAGACGTCAACCTCATGGTGGTGGCTGATTAAGATTTATCCTCTGTGGAACATGAATGTCTGTGTCAAATTTTATGGCAGTCCATTTGATAGTTGGTGTCATGATATTATATTTTAAAATATACCTTTTGCAGTGCATATACACAAATATATACACAGCTATTTTTAAGGTAAAAGCCTACAGTAAATCAATGACCACATCATACATTCATGTTGTTTAGAACACCAGTTAGTCTCACCTTACTCCATTCTTCAACTTTCCATGTGGAGCAGGGGCGCAGGTAACATCGCTGGGCTGGCGCTGGCCTCTTGGCTGGATCACAGTCAGCGTCTGAGCCAGTGCTGCAAGCCAAAGTTCTCCAGATGGCACCCAGACCACAGCTGGTGGAGCACTGCCCATAAATGTGGTAACACAAATGAAAACACTTACTATTTGCAATTTGAAGACTGGATGCACAACCAGCTCCAGCAAGCACAATAAATCTCACTGATAACAATGCAAAACAGGGAATTCTTACATTGTTTGTGTGTATTGTGGTCAGGCTTTAAGTATTTTCATGATATGCAAATAAATAATTCTATGCTAATTCTTTAAAGGTTGTGTACAACACAGCAGGGGGGACAGTAGCAGCAACCCCCTGTCACATATACCATACTAATGCATTATGTAAGCTGACATTAGCTGGGTTAGCTCTAGGTCAAATGATGTCTCCGAAGAATTCAGTTAAATGTCTGCAGGGACCAAAACTAGACGCTGTGTCTGCATAATAAAAGCAGACAGAGACATAAAAAATGAGACACAGATGTGCTGCCTGCTACAGTATAAGTACAACACCAGAATGTGTGGATTAATGCAGACTCACAGCGCTCCAGTTGCCGGTGACCCAGTAGGCAGCAGTAGTGACGTGTGTGGAGGCTGAAGTTTGGACAGATGTTGGCACTGGAAGTGGCAACAGAATAGGTGGATTGGTTGGCAAACTGGGCACAGCAGGTGTTGTGCTATGTTTTGGAGCGGCTGCTGTGTTTGTTGGAAGCTGATGTGAAGGCCCAGGGTCACTGCTACTGCTTCTCACCATCATAGGAATGACTATTTCATTGTAGTCAAAATCAGCTAAATCAAACGATGGAGATTGGGATGTGGAATCTGTTCCAGTTCTTTCAGTGAAGGCAGGTTTTGTCGGTATCTGTTCCATTGTAGCTGGCAGAAAATCAGCTGGAGAAGGCTGTGTGGCTCCTTCCAGGTTTGTAGGAGGTATGATTTCTGTTCCAGTTAACGATGTGGAGTCCTCAGAGGCCTCTTGGTTACCTGAGATTGGCACGAAGGGAATGGGAAGAGGACTGGATCTCTCAGATGCAGGAAGTGAGGTTGTACTGAGGTCGGGATCAGTATCCCATGAATACTGACTAGTGGCATATCCTGTCTGATCCAAGTCCAAATCCTCCAATGTGAAGGCAGTTGGAAAGATTGTTGGTTGACTGGTTGTTTGAGGTATTTCTGAAACACTCTTATCCAGTTGGACTTCAGTCTTAACTTGAATAATAGTTCCTGGCGTGGGAGAGCCTGGATGTTCTGGACTCTCTGCACCTTCTTGGTCTGCAGAGGTGTCGGGAACAAGTGTACTTTTTTCATTGTAACTGTACTCATAATCATCATGTTCTTCCATCTCCTGAGCACTTATTGTTGTAGAGACAAAAGTATCAATAGTGGTTTCATGTCCGGGAGTGGGAGCAGCATGTTTTGGTGTCACAGTGACTTTCTCAGTAGGATTGTCCTCTGCAGTAAAATTTTCAAAGCTGTTTTGAGCCTCCTCCCCATATTGCTCCCATTTCACATCCTGCGTTGGCTCCTTTGTAGTGAAAATCAGATCAGGTATTGTGCTAATGTTTTCAGGCCGCCACAGATTGTCATGTCTCTCTTTTAGTGTTTGTGAATGCTGAGTTGTAGACAACGGCGGCGAGCGAGTGGTAGACACAGGCAGAAGATAATCCTCAGAAAGGAAGTCATCCAAATTTTCGGAATTTGTTTGCATAGACTCCTTTGTTGCTGCATTTTCATTGTCCTTCACATTGTCCAGATTTCTGTTCTCTGGATCTTCAGCTTTTAAAGTGTAGGCAGTGGCCTTTGAAGTTGTAGAAATGGCTGAAGTAGCTGTGGGAGCTTTAGTCTCCATGTAAGCATTTTCTTTCACACTGCGGGTTGGCTTGGCCTCCTGTGGAGCACTGAATCTGTGACTGTCCCCTGAATCTTTTCCATCACCCTCAAAGTCATCCGACAAGTCTTCATGGAAGTTGATAAAGTTATAGTCATAGTAAAAATCGTCAACTTGAACACTGTTTTCCGGAGAGCGATCAATATTTTCAATGTTGTTGTGGTAATGAAAATCTCCCTCAACAATGTTGTTAAGGTTATTTTGATTTCTTGGCTGGGCTCTGGTGGTTCCATATTTGGGAAGAGGTTTGACGTCAGGTATGGAGTTAATTTCATTGAGCACTTCTTTGCTCGACCAGCCACTTCCAGACCAGTCGATACCAAAGTTATCCACTACTTGTGGACAGTCCTGGATGTAGCAGGTAGTGACAGCAAGGGGCTTCTTTTGGGGGTCACAGTCAACACCTGTGTTTCTGGAGCAGGTTACATTACGGCGACGTACTCCACTTCCACAAGTCAGTGAACACTGCATGGAAGAAAAGACACAACATCAGATGATGAGTAGTGTTGTGAAGTGGTGAATTGTGATTCTCAAATCATGCTTCGGTTTGAGGAAACATCTTAAAAGGTCATCATTACATTACTAAACAAGTTGTGTCTATGTGTGAAAAAGAAGAAGAAATTACAAGGCAAGAAATACAAAGGACATGACCTCTGTGTCTGCCATCGTCACCTCTGAGGCAATATGCTGCCAATGAGCAATTAGCAATGTGCATCTTTCTGTGTGTGGCACTTAATCTCTTGCTTTCGTTGTCTGAAAAAGCCTCAGATGTCAAAATGTCTGGTGACACGTGCTGCCGAAATGGAGAAATGCACTTCATAAGAACTAGAAGATAAAATAATAAATTACTTTCTCCATGATTATGACTCATAATTTAACATCCTCTCTCACAGAACGACCCTTTTTAGAAAATGTGAAAGTAGGTGTAAGAACTTGTGAAGAACAATTAGCATTTTAATTTCCTTTTTAAACGGCACAATTGCATTCGAACTGTAACCTCATATTTCAAACCAGGCTCACCTTTGACCAACTGCCAGTGGTCCAGTCAGCGGGGCAGGGGATGTGTGTGTTGCAGGAGGATAGCGACTCAGGTTTGAGCATGTGTTCACATTCACTGGGCTGCAGAGCTTTCTGCTCCTCAACACTTACTGCCTGGATGCAGAGCACCGTCCTTTTAGTCTGTCCTGAGCTCCCACAGCTCGCTGAGCATTTGTGCCACTCTCCAACCCACCATCTACACACACAGACACAAATATTTCCAATTTAATGGTACACTTGTGATGGAAAATTACAAAATCCTGCAGCTCAGCAAATGCCCATGACTCAGCCATTCAGATTTTGATGGCTGTGTTATAAAGGTTCAGTGAGTACGATTTTATCGTCCCCCACCATAAAATGCTATTATGTCTTCAGGGTCATAATAGCGTTGCTGGTCAATAACAATGTCTTAGGATTTGCTTCATTCAAAAGGTGAGCTTTCTGGCTGTCAAAACTTTCAGTCCCTGACTGAGATTTTCAACTGCTCAATCACCATCCTTATTACTATTATTGTCATAAAGACACAGAGTGGTAAAGATTGAAAGCTTCTCTTTGTGTATGTTGTTCTCTATGTGACGTGTTTGTTTTAAAGCTCAGCAAAGATTACATTTAAATTTTAAGTCGCTGGCTTGAAAGTGAAGTTGAAGTGCTGAGCTACGAACAATTAGCCACAGAGTTCTTGGTTTAATGCAAAATAAACTGTGGTCACTCATTAGCCATTACTGTTAGCAAACAGGAAACAATTATACACAAATGATTACTAATGAAATTTCTGATTATTAGTCAGAATGTATATGATCTCCCACCTCACACAATATGGCTACTGCTATTCTCGACATGCACAAAGCAATGTGTGCATGCATTGTTTTCTTGTGTATGTGCCTTGGTGTATAGCAACAACGAAATTGAAATCCTAATTATAAATAAACATCTAAAATGTTACAGAAAAACTACATCATGCAAAGCACTTTCAACAACACAAATACGAACCATTAATAACCATTAATTGTAACATCCACAGAAAGAGTGGATGATGGCTCAATCTATCTAACCCTAACGACAGCATCTGTAGCAAGAAGTCATATTGTAAGAGGAAATTCAGATGTTTCATTACTGATACTACCACAACTCAACAAGCTGCACTTATGAAAAATATCTGTAAAGTGTTGATTCTTTGATCTCAGTGAAACCACCTGCCAGCTGTGTCCAATCAGCAATTTCCCCTCTCCTGCCTTCCTTCACTCAAAAAAAAAGTCTGTATGCTTTCAAACCAACCACAATTTGTCTGAGGCACTTAAAAAATACAGTCAAGGATCAGCGGTGTAAATGAGGCTTTCCCGAGGAGAAAACACATTTTATTCTCCATAGAGTCACCCTTGTCCCCGGGAGCTCCCCCTTGAAGTTCCATACAAAATGCTCAATCAACAGCAGGTTAGAAAATAGCCAAGATGAGAGAGAGGCCTAAAGGTTTGATTAACAAGTGTATAACCACCTGAAAATAAGAATTGTGTTTTTGTTAACTTAGAATGAGATATTTTTATCGACAGAAGCCACCATGTTGAACCTTTAGGGTATTACGGCCACTGTAGTTCCTACTACATGCTTGGAACTGGACAGGAGGGTGAGGTGGACTCAGCCTTTGAAGGACTGGTGTGTACCATGTAGTGGCATCTAGCAGTGTAGTTGCAGATTACAACTCCCTCGCTTCCCCCTCCCCTTCCAAGCATGAAGAGAGCCAATGATTGGTTACTGTTTAGGCTACTGTAGTAATATGGCGGTTCTACATGGTGGCCTCCAAGGAAGAAGTGGTGGTGGTGTTGGTAGATAAACAGCTCATTATAATATAACTATTCTTATTTTCAGATGATTATACACTATTAAAACATAGTTATGGATATTATATTCCATTTCTGCCAACAGATTCTCTTAAATATTACACACTGGACCATGAAGTAGTTTAGGTTGCAGGTTAGGATTTAACAGATGTTAACAATTACCTGCTATTTTGGTCACAATTATCACAGTTTTGGCCTACAATATTTGATACCTTTAGTGGGGTAAAACAGTAGACCCAGACCGCCACACTGCCCTTTTTAGAATTCATGTCCAGCACACCTAAAGCCAAACAGGTTATCGCATTCACCACTCTGCTTGCAAGGAGGCTTATCCCTCCCCATCTACTTATAATAGATGGATTCATGAGATACTGCAGTGCATTAGGCTTGAGTATATGAGCTTCTCCTTGAGAGGTTCCCGAAAGACCTTCCATAAAACCTGGCAGCCCTTTTAAAGAACATATTGACACCCTGGTTATCACTGAAGAAAATAACTGAGCTGAATACAAAAAATAATGCTGCAATTATTGGAAATAAATGTTCTTTTTTACATTATTGCAAGTATACATTTTTTTTTCCTGCTGTAGAAATATATTAAACTTGTGACTCCTGCAGATATTGAACTATTGGATTCTTTGGTTCAATACACACCACGATACGTGTTTGATCCTGCAAGGGTTGAACAACAAGTATGTGTCTGATGCAATGAAACTCACATGGCTGGACATGGATCCTTGTTACAGCTGGTTTGGTTATTGTCAGGTCGGGTTAAGGGGTCACAGAAGTGCGCCTCCACTATCCCAGTTGTCTTTTCCACACAGTGAACAATCTGCCTCTGAACACCTGGAACAGGACCGAGAGGAGAGCTTTTGAGACTAAGCACACATAAAAACACATACATGGCTCCAAGCTGCATCTTAGTAATGATATAATAATAGCCTCCCTGGAGGGCAGTTGGTAGGCCACTAGTATTGATTGACTACTAGTAGGTGGTTGTGAAGCTAAGAGCCAACCAGAATTTAGATCACTGAATACAGAACACCATATTTATATGTTATAAAACCAGGACCCAACATGACACACGACTGAAATGTCCTATGAATATAAAATGATCATCAGAATATTTAATGTTCAAATGTTTCAAGTATCAAGGATTTAAGTTCCACAAACCAACATGGTAAAATAAAGTTGTAAATTTAATGCACATTTCTGTTTACTATCATTTTTATATATATACGTAACACAAGCACACATCCCAACACATCCCAAATGTTCCTCCTTCCTGTCTCAGCAAAGCCTAAAAATTCCCATTTAAAATAAGATTAGATGGACAGAAATACATTTAACACATTTAAGTATCAAGTTTCAGACAGCATTACACAAAGCAGTGGACAAAATGACTTGTCTCCTAAGGCTGATTTATCTCCACCTGTGATACCTCTCTCTATCATTACTCTCGCCCTCCTGAGGGGATTTCCACCCTGTCAGAGCAGGAGACACCTCTCACCTCTCTGTGCCCTCTGCTGAGGGCCACAATGCATGTCTGATAGCTAATTTACACCTTCAAAGACATCTCTTACAGGACAAGCCAGCTACATTAGATTGAAAGCCAGATGGTGACAAAAAGAAAAAAAGAAATAAGGAGATAAAATGCAGGAGAAACACTCTGAGCCATGTAGATTGCAAGGCCTTTTTGGCTAAATTTAACATCCATTTGAACAAATAATATACTCATACTGTGGCAGATAATTTGGTCTAATGTGGGTAAAACCCTGTTCCTTGTACCTGGTAACAGGACATACGGTCTCTTGATGTGTTGTATTTATATGTGGGAAACTGGAGGAGAAAGTGGATTTCTTAATTAAAACATCTACGTCAGGAGTCAGCAACCTTTTCTATCAAAAGAGACGTTTTTGGCCAAAAAATAAGAGAAAAAAAACTCTGCCTGGAGCTGCAAATGCTAATTTCTCGCCACAGATCAAGCCTATACCAGTAAGCCAGCAGCGTCGGTAGGGAAAGCAAACTAATCTATCTATGCATTATTAAAATTAAATTAAATTGAATTTTATTAAATAACTATTAAATTGAATGCTTTTGGATTTGGAATGGCCAGGGAAACTCAAGACTAGAAGCCACTGAGGTTTGGACAAATATAAGGGAACATAACATATGACGCACATTTTAAGTGACAAAATGTTTATTTATTTATTTGGTGTGTAATGGCTATGCATTTGTAAAACTTTGACAACAATGATAAATGAAAATATAAAAAAATAACTTATTCATTTTACCATTTTCTATCAAATCCACATAGGAGAGGGGCTAAAGACCTGCAGGTTGCCTACACCTGCCTGCTGTCTACTTACAGGGACATTTGGACTCATGTTTGTAACCCTTAGTACAAAACAACCCAGAAACCCTGCTGTGAAAACTACAGTTGTTGCTCTACTGGCATTTATAGTAATAAACCTCACCTGCAAAACTCCAGCCTTCAACTCTCTGGGCTCCAAAGCTCAGAACAGGCTTTTGACATTTTTAAACCTACAAAGACTTGACAGCCCAAAAACAATTTCCACCAACATACACAGATGTTTTAGCCTTGGTGGTCAAAAGGAGGGCATATTGAACAACTGAGTAAATACAGAGCACAACACATCAAAACTGTGCGCCTTGTTAATTTATTCAGCTTTCTGTGAGGCAAAGAAATGGGAAAAAAACAAAACAGACATTGTGTCAAAGATGGGGGATGGAGATGCAGGGACAACAACTGTAAACTCTGCCAACAGAGCTGGAGGAGACAGCAACAATGAGAGGTGAACCTGATGAACTGGATTCAAATAATATACATACAAAAGGACACACAGTCCACAATATTTCTGCTGTAGTTTGTGTTCAGAGACTTTTTTGACTCATTTAAAGCAAACATCCTTCATGATTTTTTAAGGTACATAGTAGAGTATTTCTCACCTGGTATGGGGTTAAATAGGGCTTTTAGGGGCACAGTCCAAATATTAGACTGAATAAGTAAAGTAACAATTTTTTTTAACAAAGTAAACACAGACTCCAGTCCAGTGTGCAAAGCTTGATATGTGATCAAATTCAACACTTGTTTCAAGCTGGGCTATTGCCTTTGAAAGCACTGCCAGTTTCATCAGTTTATTGCTCAACCACATGCAACATGCTTCCAAATCCTATATTTGTCCAACAGTACAAGCCAGCAGTTTCATTATTTTCCTTCCATTCACAGTGTAAAGCCCCTTATTGATCTTCACGGCCCATCGCACAGGTCAAAACTGACCATAATGTAATCTAAATCAGAGAGAACAAAACACCCCACTGAAGGACTCCTGAAGGATTAATAGCTCAATACAATTTGAAATACGTCTACTGTCAACTTGTGAAGCTACTTTTATCCTAAATCATTGACACATTCCTTCTTTCTGCTCAATAGTGTTTGTATTGTACTTTTACCCATTGCATGAGCAACTGTATTAGGAAAATATTCTACTTTGATAAAGAGGTACAAGCCTGTTTAAATAAGAACCTAAAAAGAAAATCTGTTGCATGTGCTGCAAAACTTAATATATAATGTTTAGTTTTTAGATGAATCTACTCTCAAGAATTACTGTTTTGCTTTTTCCTTGAAAAAGACTCACTTCACACTAATATTCTGATATATGTATATGTGAAATTTCAGTAACAGAAGTCAGGAGGGGTTGGTGAAGGTGAAGAGGTTTCTTTTTTTCTTTACTCTTTATTTAACTTCACATTTGAATTTACATTCAATACCAGACTGGCAAATTGTGGTCACACAAAAAGAGGTCAAAATGTCACCAACATTCTTTTGGGATCAGACGTAATTTATTTCTTCTCTTTGTAAGCTTTTTAGTATATTCTAACAGCAAGGTAGTTTATTTTCTATGGAGATGTTACAGGGAAATATAAACGCTACCAAATAAAACCTTTGAATAGTTGTCTCTCAAGTGTTATCTTATTGAATTATAAACGTGTATAAACTTGAATGTAAAATAGCAATATTAATAATCAGTTGATATAGCACTGAGGTCCCAATTAATCCTCAAATGTTTAGTTTCAGTGCAGTTTTTAACCAAAAGAGTAAATAACTAATCTTCAGTGATCTATTTTTGACTAAATTCCTATCATTTTGCACATCTCCTTCCATCCCATGCATGGGGCCGACAGCAGCTCTGTCCATAGAGACAAGGGACTTGGCTTGGGAACCGGAGGGCAGCCAGTTCAAGTCCAGCACGGACCACAGTATGGGGTGTGAACTGGTAGCTGCAGAGGTGCCAGCTCCACCTCCTGGGCATTGCCCTTGAGCAAGGTACAGTACGCCTCACTGCTCCCATTTCATGCAGCCCATCACTCCACCATCTTCAACAGTTGCATGTATAAAAGTCCTGTCTGTGCATGATTGTATTTCGAGCCTGTGCGTGTGTGTGTGTGTGTGTGTGTGTGTGTGTGTGTGTGTGTGTGTGTGTGTGTGTGTGTGTGTGTGTGTATTTAAAAATTGAGTGAATCCCCCACTGAGGAATAATAAAGTTAATAATCCCATATTAATGCATTCAAAACTAGGAGCCAAACAAAATATGAAGTTGTTTCTCTTACCTGTTCCACAGGTAACACTGCATTCAGTCCATGAACCATATTTCCAGAAGAAAACTGACTCAGGGATGTCGTTGCCCTCTGAGACATTTTGACTGATTGTGTACTCGTACCGCACTCCAGGATTGGTCTCCTGAAAGAGAAGCTGTAACACACAAGACAATATCTAATAAATACAAGAATACACAAAGAAAACTTACAGCTCTTCTGAAGAACTGAAGAACTAAATTACAAACGAAAACCCCCCGCATATTTCCCGTTTGTGTTTCCGCCACGTGAAGAACCATGAAGAAAGGATTAAAAAGGAAATTAATTTGAAACAGCATTTTTGCATGCAACAGGACAGCAAGACATGCAAGAGAATGTTAGAAGGTGATATGCAGAGGCAGAAATGTAAGTTCTCCTGTAGCGGTAGTCCCCTGTTTATTCTCTTTTTTTAAACAAGGTACTAGGCAGTAATTTGTCTTCATAGCGGTCGTTTTCAACGTCAATAATGTTCAAATATATCTATACATTTCTCACTCACCCTTTTCATTTCACTCGATTCAAAATGAATACAGTTTTGAGTGTTGATTTTGAGAAGTCAGTAATATTCAACACTGCAAACCGTACCCGGATAGCTTGTTGGATATCAGAAAATACAACCTTGAGAGAAGGGGCTTGTTGGAGAAGAAAGCACAGTCCTGGAGCAAAAGCTAAACTCCAAGCATGCCTTAAGGACATAAAAACCTGGATGACCTGCAATGTTATGATGTTAAACTCATTCAAAAGTGAAGTTATTTTACTTGTCCCCAAACAGCCCTGAAATTATTATTTAAAGGTATAGTTGCTCCATATGGTAATACTCTGGCCTCCAGCACCTCTGTAAGGAGTCTCTGAGTTATCAGGATATGTCCTTTAACTCCCACATTAAGCAACTGTCAAGGACCTTTTTTTCGCCAATGTAACATTGGAAAAATCTCAAAAAGATGCAGAAAAACTAACCCATGCATTTTTTTACTCCTAGGCTGGATTACTGAAATGTATTATTATGAGACAGCCCCTTAAGTCCCCATAAGACTCTCCTGCTGATCCAGAATGCTGCAGCACATGTACTGACAGGAACTAAGAAAAGAGATCACATGTTTCCCATCTCTGTAAAATGCACTACCATGTCTTAAAGGTCCAATGTGTAACATTTAGTAAGATCTACTGGCAGACATAGAATATAATAATTAAAGGTATGACCTCCTACATGCTTGGAATGGGAGGGTCAGGTGAGAGGGTTGTAAATGCGGCAGTGCTAAATGCAACTAAATCCTTCACACTGGTCCTTTAAATAACCCATAGCACCCTGTTACCTCACCAGAACACCGTGTTCCCAGAGAACAGAGTTACTTATGGTTCCTATTGTCTCCGAAAAAAAACCCCCGAACATCTTGGTGGGAGGGAGACATTTCAATAAAAGTTGGTTTAAGAGTCCCTTTAATAAAGCTTATAGTTTAGCTCAGGTCAGCCCTCAACCATCCCCTAGTTATGCTGCTATAGACCTAAACTGTTTGGAGACTTCCCACGATGTACTGTGCTCCTCTCTCCTCCTCTCCATCTCTGACTGTTACGTATTCTTATCCCCTTAATAGATGTTACTAAATCAGCATCTTAATATTAATATTATTACCATTACTTTATCTATGTGGAACTTGCATTGTCCTGCTGTATGTCTCTGTAAATAATATTATAAAGAGTACGGTTTAGACCTGCTCTATATGGAAAGTGCCTTAATTTCTGTGTGCTTACCCGATCAAGGCAAAACAAACAAGAAACACTTTTTATTTTTAAAATTCATGATTTCCTGATGTTATCAGCACATTATACATCAAAATCTGTTTTGTGTACTTACCACATGTGCTTTCTTATTATCATGTTGATTCAAATTCACCTTGATTTCTTTCTACAGGCAGTTTCAGTACTAATTGGCAACACAAAGGGGCAACATACACTCAAAACCTTCAGTTAAGCTGTTAATCCGACCTGAATCCACAGTGGTTCCATGGTGGGCCCAGGAGACGTCAGGTTCTCCAGGTGTCCTGTCCTCTCATAGGTGAATACTGTTCCAGCTGCCTTGTACTCCCCATTCCACTGTATCGTCCAGCCGCCGTTCAGAAAATACTTGTTGGGGTTGTCACTTCGTAGTGCCAAGAAATTCCCAGCTTCAGCCACCTCCTCAATGCGGATGTCCCAGGCTCCCTTTGGGATCAGTCCAATGTCTACGTAGCCTAAAGGAAGGCACATTTTATATGAGTGAAGTTGAAACACAACGCATCCTGATATAAAGCGAACAAATAAGTGGTGAAGACTGAGGAGAAAAATGCCACCTTGGAGTGTTTCAGTTTGTTTGTAGACACTTTAACAGATGGTTTGGTTAGTTATTGGCACACTGTACAGCAACAGCATGAAATATAATTATACTAATTATGGGTGCCTGCAGTTTAACATAGATTTGTTGAATGGTGGTTAACTTGTTGTATTTTTTAAGAAACTACCCGTTAATGACAAACATTTTCTGTGCTCATATTACAAAGCGCGATACACAATCTAAACCTGGACATCTTCTACTATTTTTACTTAATGCATCTACAATGATTCACAGCAGGAACTGTATAATTATGTGTTAATAATGACATTAAAGTTGGTTCTGTTCTATTCAAAGTCACGACAATGTGCCAGTGAGCCAACATGTACAATACAAGGGTTGCTTCTCATTCTGCTAATTATGCTTCCTCTCTTCCTTGCTCATCTGTCCTCCGGAGGAGTATTAATAATTCTGATTATGTAAAGTACCTGTGAAAACAGACTATGGTTGTTATAATTGAAAAACACAATAAAATATTGTTGAAACCCTGTGGAAACAGGAATGAGCAACAGTGGCCCTAACATTATTAATGTTTATTCCTAGAATAAAAATGCTGTAAGTGGAGAATCGTGAATGAATCATGAAAACACTTTTGTTTATGTTTTCTTCATAGGCCAAAAGGGCTTTAACTATTTTCATCTTTTATTGTTTTCCTTTAAGGTAAATCTTGGTTAATTAAGGAAAAATACAGCAAATATGATTGAAGCTGAAAAGGCTCTACTGTATCTGTAGTGTAAGTAATTAGGGAATAGATTTTATTCTAAACATTTATTTATAGCACTCACATCTGTTTTGTTCTTTCAGTAATAAACCCCTTTTGTTAACATGTTACATAAGTCCCTATATTTTTAAACTGGGTACTTTTAAAGATGGTTTATAACACACTATAACACACTTGTACGCAGATAGAAGTCTATAACTTTTCCTGTGGACATCCATAAGTGGAGGCTGTTGTATAAACAGACAATGGATCACAATGTAGTAAAATACAGTTGTATATTGTAATTGCAATCATCTATTTTATTATTCATACCTGTGCTTTTCCTACTATTATGTGAGTGAATATCTTCAGTGAAAAGACCTTAAAAAAACATACCAAGTCCTTCACTCTCCTCAAATGTTCTCCTCACAGTCGTACAGGTGGAGCCGTTACCATCACACACCCCACAGCGATCCTCGACAGTACTGGACTCAATCAAATAGTCACAGCCTACATTCTGCAACAAACATGCAACAAAATAAAGTCCACAATATATTATCTGGAATAACCCTCAGTGATTACACAACAAAAACTAAATTTGATAACGGACATTATGCAGCGATTTAGGGACTGAATATCTCTTATAATTTTTTTCTTGAGGGATTTTGATCAAAGCCAAATTTTCCAATCAACCATCCACACAAGGACTTGATAACCCTTTGAACAGGATCTTTTCATGCATACATCAATTTGCAAAAGCCACAAAAACAACCCTGGACACGGCCCCTGTCTCATCTTGCCTTGTGTGCTTTTTAAATCCCAGTAATACTTATATCATACATATATATATCATGTAATTTTGTGCAGCTTTATCATTATTGTCACACCCAATCTGTGCTGCTGCTCCCACCCTGCAGCAGTGAAAGGAATGATGTGTAATCAAATAAGGCCGTGAAAAGGTAGTGGTGGAAGAAGTACTCAGATCTTTTACTTAAGTAAAAGTAGCAATACCACAGTGTAGAAATAAGTAAAAGTCCTGCATTCAAAAGGTAGCTTTACCACAAAGCACAAAAGTATATATTTAAATGTACTACAAAGAGTTTTTAACTGATTGTGAAACAGTCTCAATTTAACACTGATGCCTCTATAACTAACTCTAATGAGACCATCAGCAATAAGATTGGTTATATCCATATAGTTCTTCTTAATGCCTGCCACTGGGTTGGATTCCCCTTGAAATCAATGAAAAGAGGCAGTAGAAACACTACAGCTTTTGTCCACAGGGGCCGACAGAAACAAAACAAAATGAAAGTTCCTTGTAATGCCTTTAAAGTACCCAACGTAAAAGTGCTCATTATGCAGAATAACATATATCATATTATTGGATTGTAACTATTAATGCATGCATTTGTAAAAGTGGTGCTAATTTGAATTACTCTATATTACAGTTAAGAAGCTTGTGAATTTCCTCCCAGGGATCAATAAGATTTTATCTTAAGTTAACCTATAATAAAAATAATTTATTTGTTGATTATATTTTGTATTATTTGTCTGAATCTATAAAGTTACTATTAACTAAAGTTATTGAATAACTTTAGTGGAATAGAAGTGTAAAGTGGCAGGAAATGGGAAAACACAAGTAAAATACAAGTACCTCAAAATTGTACTTAAGTGCAGTACTTGAGTAAATGTAACACTACATACTAACTAAACTATTATTGTTTTCTTACACATTATTCTTAGGTGTGAATTTTTAAGAGGATCAATTAAGAGACACAGAAAATGTTTATTTTTCTCTTCTGAGTCAAACTTCTCGAAGTGTAGTTTTCATTTTATATGAAAAATTAAAAAGAAAACTGGTTTGGCCTTTCATGTTACAGAGACCCTTCAAAACACAAAATGGGGCAGGTAAGGTGGAAATCATGTGTGCCTGACAAAAATGTCACAAAATGTCATGAAATCTGAGCCCAAGGTCTGTGATTGCTGTCCACTCATATCCAAACAATGTCTGTATCAGTGACTGGCATTTTGGTCTGGTGTGAAGAGCAGAGAGATAACAGCCCTGACGTTTTTCTATCAAGCTTATTTTAATGTCAAATGTACAAGACTTGCCTGCAGAGAAAACAAAGTGAGGGTCAACAATACTGCATGACTAACAAAGCAGCAATTCAATGAAACAGAAATACAAGAATAGAATAATCAATTAGTCTTTCGAGAAAAAAACTGAAAAACTGAAGCCTAAATTATTTATCAGAGAATATGTTGAAAAGTAGGTACAGTATTGATACCTTACAGATGCCATTGATGCACATATCTCTACTTTTGTTGCCTTCGTAACACGGTGTCCCATCAGTCACAGCATCCCGCATCTTTTCAGAGAAATGTTCATTCAGTGGACGGCAGTGCAGTTCACAAGGGCTGACTGAAAGAGTTTTAAGAGAGATCCAACAGAAGACACAAAGATGACAATGAATACTGTAAATTAACAACCGGAGGTTCTCTTTCTGAGTTCACCTAAATGCTGTTACGTTCAACCTGCTCACCTCTGTTGATGACTGCTTCCCATTTGTAGAACTTGCCCTTGTATGGCATGGTGTTAAAGTGACTACACTGGATGTTTCTGAAGGTGGGCAGGTCATTAGGACATTGTGGGGTGTTACAGATCTTGTACCTCCGTCGCTCTCCCAGACAATACTTCCCTCCGTACTTTGGACTGTAGGACAGACAAAGATGTTATTTCAGTGCCGCTTAATGTTCAAAACTTTGTGACATTTTGGAAAAAGGTGGGGCGAAGAGAAGATGCTTTATAAATGTATTTGATGTAATGATAAAGGAACGGTGTGTAGGATTTTGCGGCATCTAGCGTTGAAATAGCAGTTTGCAACCAACTGAATACAGCTCTCCCGTTTCAAGTGTGTAGGAGAAACTTCGGTGACAGTAAAACCTCGAAAGAGAAAGAGTTTGGTTTGTAGGTTATGGGTTACTTTAGAAACATGGCAGACTCCGCAGAGGAGGACCCGCTTCCTCTGTAGATAAAAAACGCTCATTCTCATTTTCAGGAGATTAAACACTAATGAAATCAGCTTGCTCTGCGTAGGGGCAGCCACAGCGTATCATCTTTAGATCTGATGAGCCTCATATTTGATTTACCATAGGCTTTTAATGCTGGGTGGCCTTCATGGCGCGACGCTCCCCTTTTATCTGTGCTTCAGTGTCTCACCTAAGGACACTTAAACATGTGGACAGAAGGCAGTGGGGCTTGAACCGCGAACCTGCAATCAGTGGACGATCTGATCAACCTCCTACATGTTACACACTGCACCTTTTTTTTTTTTTCCTTTAAGTTATTTTTTTGGCCTTTTCATGTCTTTATTAGATAGAACAGCCAAAGATAGACATGAAAGGTGGGTTTATTTCTGCCAATAGAGCCTCCTAAATGTTACACACTGGACCTTTAAGATTGAACTGAAATGAAACGGCTGAGGATTGACTGTGATCTCAGTACGACATTAACTGATGCTAAATAATAATAATAATAACAATAATGTTACACACTGGTTCTTTATTCTTCCCAGAAAAATGATTATAATATCAATTTAATTGTAAAACAAGATTTAAAAGCAAGAAAATGTATCAGTATCATTTAAAAGTATTTTTGGTAAAACTTACACTGGGTTATCACAGTCTCTGTGGGCACTTCGGACTCCAGCCCCACAAGTCCTTGAACAGGCCGACCACTCGCTCCATGATGCCCAGCCACCATTTACACTCTCTGGCTGATATCCGGTTGCCACACACTCTCCACTGAAACACCACTGGTAAAGAAAACAGCAATGTTTACATTAATAAATGAACACAGACTGTAAGCTTCATCTTCTTGTTCAGGAAATGAATGCTGCATTCTCTTCTATAGCTGTAGAATACCCACTTTAAGGTGGACTCACTATGTACGGTATCTCTAATTATCACTACACTTCCATGAGAGCTGAGAAGATATTGTTTAAGTTTAGAGGTTCATTTCATTGTTTTACTTTCTGTTATTTCCTGCTGTATAGTGGACAACTAAAAAAATCCACCTCTGCTAACATAACATAAATAGGATAAACTTTTATGAAATAAAACATTAACTTTCAGGAGAACAAGGGGAGGTGATACAATGCTAAGTATTTCATGAGTGTGAATACTGTGATTACTGTACAATCTCTGTTAATAACTGCCTAGAGAAAACATAGAAATATGCAAACTAATTGCTTTGCCAGAGAAAAATCCTTTTAAAGCAACATTATTTATTTTAAAATGTGTTTCCTTGAGGTTTGTGGTGTCACAGTAGTCACTCAGCCTTGCCTTACTGCAAACAGAAAGAATAGGCCATGAACTGACGCCCCTTCCCTTTAGGAATCAAACACTGGTGATTTGTTGACATTTCCATCACAATCCCCATGTCTTATGTAACATACTCACCTTGTCCTCGCCACAACTGGTCCCATCCACAGCCCCATCCAGCTTTGAGTGGCAGGTTGTTCCCATAGTGCACCACAGAGTGCTGCATACATTCTAGGAAAACAAAGAGATAATAATTCCCAATCTGTTTGCCTGCATTTATTTTCACAAGGTCACAAGTAAGCGAGCAGAGACGTGTGAAAAGACTGTTTTTTACATGTTGCATTATAAATAAAAAATCATGTTTAGTGCTCTGCTATCAGTTCCAATCAAAATGTTCTCATCTGTCATTACAGGTTTATCCCCACAGTTTGACTTAATAGCATTGTTTGACTACATTTCCTGAATTCAGCAGCTCCCCTGGAGTTCAAGTACAACAGAGTATCATTAATTCTGATGGATGAAGCACACCCCCACTCACAAAGCCTAGTGTTTGTTCTTGCTTTGTGTGATAAGACATGCCATCTCTTTCAGATACGGAAGATCAGATAAGGATTACAGTCAGGAGATATACAGCAATGACTGCTGACATTGCTCTATGAATGTTATATGTGCAATGTAAGCTTTGGGAAATATGTACTATCTTTCATGTCGGGATCTCCATTAGTTCTATGCATCATGTTCTCTACAGTGAAATTTAAAAAAAATCTGTACTTTAAAGCAGCAGTTAGACATTTTGAGAAATTAGCTTTCTCACTGAGAATTAGATGTTTAGATTGATACCAAGATCTGTACACTAAATGTGAAGCTACAGCCAGAAGCCAATTAGCTTTGATTAGACAGGGAGAAGCAACAAGCCTGACTCCATCTGAATGCCAACCAGCACCATGTAGCACACTAATTAACATGTCACATCTCATTAGAGTGGAACAGGAACTTCACATACCACAGCCTTTGCCTGCATTTGCAACAATAATACATCGAAAGACCAATAAGTTTATTTCCTACAGGGGTAAAATCTCTGTGTGAAAACTGGAAACGGCAAAAGGTCAAACACACTGCTCAGAAAAAAGGAGTTCCCTGCAATTGTAATTGTCTTGGCCGATTCTTGTTGCGGTTGCTTGACATTTGTGATGAATGTGTGGACGACATTTTTAATTTCAGCCAAAATCGTCATTCTGTAGATTAGGATAGTTTTTTGAGATGCAAATGATTCAGATAAAGAGCATCTGAACTTTCAGAGTTCAATGATTAACAGTGATCTATGCGCAATATTTAGCTTCTTTTCCAGGTAAATAATCTTCAACTTTTGTCACTGATACTTAAAGATAAATAGTTGGAATGACATATAGTATTGATCCTCAATGGATAGGTCCCAGTGACTGAACATCACTCTCCACAGGAATTTTGAAAGACTGGTGCCATGTAAAAAAACAGATCTGTAGAGTTCACAACCTGGATCTGATTGCCCTCCAGGTGTCTAGCTGAACCACCCCTGTCAGGAGATTTAATAGGACTTTCCCTCTAGCTGTATCTCACACAAAAACAAACAAATCAATAGAGAAACCCTCCAAAAATCCCTGAACTGACCAAGTATCGAGCAACTTACGTAATCCCTCCAAACAAAGACAAACAATCAGATGTGCCACTGAGTCTCTACAGTTTTGACAAACTGAAGCCCTCATCAGTGCGTACATCCACAACTGAGGTATTATCAATGTAACCTCTAGTTTCCAGCTCAAATGTGAGACCTGGCACAACAGATAGAAGGTCATAATTCACACTGTAGCCTTGGACATTCAATTAAATGAACAAAGTACAATGTTTTACAACAAAAGGATAAGTGGAATCCAATTAAATATAAAAGTAAACATTTGCATAAGTTCAGAAAGCACAAAAATAACACATAGTTTAAAGATGTTTCTTTTATATTGTAGTGGTTTTCCACTTTTATGGTGAATACACCATACATTTTTGTGAAAACTCCAAAGGGTACCTTTAAACGTGAAGCTGTTAGTAACCAAGGTATAAAACAGAAACACGCGGCATTCTATATTTAAGAAACCATGTAACTAATACTTTGTGACTGGATTGGATTTATTTGAATTTTTGGATTTTCATAACAGCAGGCTGCTGTAAATCTGTAGGCACCCAACTGTTTTTCTATCCTGTGGGGGTGCTTGTAAAACCTGCGCATGTTGTAACAAATTGTATTTATAGGGACACTATGTTGCTGGTGGAAAAATACTTGTGTGTGGTCTCTGTCTGTACAATCTTTTGCCTCTCTTGTTGCTCTGCCCATATGGACCGAATTGGATGTACTGAACTCTTCCCAGCTACAATACACAGCGGTCTCTAACAAACACGCAGCTCTGAAAGCCGAGAGGATTTAATCAAATTCGCAATGTATGCACTCAAACACACAGCATAGGAAAGACTCCCCTAAAGGAGTCCATATGGAAATCCTGAGTCAGAAAATGTGTCTGCATTGATTCTTTACTTCCAACAGATTCTTCAGCAGTGAGCTTGAATACAGAGACTGGTTCAGGTCTTGTTAATCATCTGCTTGTTAATCTTCCTTAAACCTCAAACCAGTTGCTATAATTGCCTGATGTTGTGTGTGACCTATGTTACACACTACCAGATACACAGCAAGATGTGCTTTTTGCTTATACAGAGAGTTTAAATCCAGCTCATGCCATAAATCTAGGACTGATGATGAGAGGGGGGTTTCCTGTGCTAAATAGGGATGGTAGTTTATCTGGTGCTTACAGATGTCAAGAAAATGAAACCAGTGGGCTTTCAGAAAAACACATGGGGCCCTTAGGGCTCCAGTATCTGCTTGTCGCATAGTCAAATAGCTTTGGGAACCCCGTCCCTACAATGTACACCTTTCCAACGTCTGATTAGGGAGGTTTGTGTCCTGTCATCCGAAACTGACAATCCCAACATTCTCAATCATTTCAGGCAGCGATTGGTCAGCTGTGCAGAGGTGGGAAAGGAGCAGGAGGTTTCAACTTTTCTCTCGAGTCATGTTTCATGTAAGCAACAATATGACTTTTCCTTGTAAGACTGTCAGAAAATGGAGCCACACATTTAAAAGATAGATTGTGTCACCTCTTTCTATGACAGCTAGCTTTCCATTCATCGTGGCCATTCAGAACAACTATAAAACACCTTTTTCCTCCAACAAGGTCACACAACACATTGTACGAACAACAGTAGATCTTTTTAAACACAACCCAAACAATGCCAAAAGTATGTAAAGCTAAACATTACATTCCATTTTATAATAATGTACTCTTCATTCAGTAATGTTATCAAAACCTACCTGTCAAACAACCAGGAGGGACAAAAATTATACTATCATTAAGAATGATCCTGTTATGGCAGTGGTTAGTAGTTCATTGTTGTTCACTCTTTTAGTTTTGCACTGAATATAATATTACACATGCATAAAATATGTCCCTTAGTCAGAGGTCGTCAATTTACTCGATGACAGAAAAGGGCTCCCTTAAGGAAAAAGGCTGGGAACCACTGCTCTGTGGTACACTATGTTAAAATATGTCTGATGTCTTTTGTAATTTTACACTACATTTTAACACCATTAACCTGTAATTGGGACTTATTGTTGCCCAGCTAAAGTTATATAATATCGCTTTAAGATGCCTTAGTTTGAAACTCTCTTGAATTTCAAATGTATCATGAGGCTTAAATTCTTTAATGTAGTACTCAAAACTAGACTTCTTGAACAACATTTATTTATTTTAACTGGTACCTGTGGAAATGCATCCACAGCAACTCTTTTAATGCTACTTTCAGCCTGAATGGAGCCTAAGACACAGTGTTATAATTCTCACTAAAAATCAGTGCAACCTCTCCTCCATGTCCAGTCTGTCTGGGTTATTAAAAATAGGATAAGTTTTGATGAGATCATTACGGATCGACTTGTCTCTCAAACATTTAACATTTGAAAGGTCACACTCAGCTGTTAAGGTGCCATCAGAATTAAAATTCTTATGAATAGCTAATGGCAGAATAGCACAATGTGAACTAATGTCAACTCTACAATTTGATAAAACCATTGCAAGACTAGGATCTATTAAAACTAAAGGAAGAAGTACCGAGCAATTGCTAAATACTAACACTGGTAAAGAAGGATCTGTTGGTCCCAGTCTGGATTTAACATTATTTGTATACTCACTTATTAAAGAGATATGGACCTTGGAGGAATAATTCATTGTGGAGCTGGCGTGTGCAAGTGTTGATAATGATCATGTTATGTGACTGATGACCACAGTTTGGTGCAGTGTTGGAAGAAGTTTTCAGATCCTTTAAGTAATTAGTATTAGCGATACTACACTGTAAAAATACTCCACTACAAATAAAAGTCCAGCATTCAAGATCTTGCTTAAGTAAAAGTGAGAAAGTATTATCAACAAATGTACTTAAGGCGAAATATTGTCTACTGCAGCTTTAAAGTAAAAGCAAAAGTACTCATTATTCATATAATGGTTCTTGTAAACACATAATCTTAAAAAAAACCCCAAAAAACCCATTTTAAATTAGAACATATTAAATAATGTGCATGTGGTGAACACCCCAGATAGAAGAAGCCATGTATAAAGACTATACTGCATTTAACAGTGGGGAATGGGCTAGAAATCAAGACGCTGATTACTCCATAACTTACTGATTAACTCTAATTACTTCTTAAGTTCAACATAAAAAAAAAAAAAAAAGTTAAGTGGAGCACAACCAACATGTTGTTGTACTTTCTACAGAGGATGACGGAGAGAAGATTTGAGCTGATAAAAATTCTAATGCACTCACCTTAGTCACCTTCAGTTTCTACTCAGAGTAGAAAGCTTAAAGTGGTGCAGCGAGGCAAGTGTTTTGACATCTTTTCTGTCCTGGGTTCAACCTTTAAGGTCACCAACATGCTGTCCTACTCTATTGGTAAAGGTTACTGGAGTTGTGTGCAGCAAATGATTGCAAGTACATGCAGTGCTTTAACAACAGAGAGGTTTAGAGGTAGCTGTTCTATTTTTCACACTCTAACTTTAAGAGTAGACAGTTGTGTCAGGTCATATGTGGGAGCGACTAAATGCAAAAACGAGAAGCTGAAAAGAAAAGAAAAAAAGCAGAGGAATGAAGAGAATGAGAATAAAGGACTTGCATTCTTTACATACAACTGCACATGGCTTTGTATGGATTTATTCTGATTTATTTGTTGTCGTAGAGGCTTACGTCCATGTCATCACAGAGCAGAGACCCAGATCCATACTGCAGCCGACACTGATGGGCAGCGCTGTACAGAACCCCGGGAAGCACCGAGTTCAGAGACAGCTTCTCCTTCACCGGAGCGTCATCAAGGCACCAGCCCCAGCCGCGACTGTGAGGGGTGGGAGGAGGAGGGGAAAAAAAGAGTAAGTACAGTTCTAGTTCAGCTCTAGTGCTGCATATTCACTGACTGAAGAAAATATGTATAAATAAACTGAGGATTTGTTGTAGAAATGTAATATAATATTCATAAGTATGTTTTCATTAGTCTACAATCAACTGAAAATAACAACAGTTGTGTTTTCGTTGCCTTAGAAAGAGCTTTTTTTAGCTACAGAGGGAGCGGGTCCTCTTCTACAGTAGCCCAGACTGGACAAACTGGACACTGCGCCAACACATTGGTCCTTTTAAAGGTACCCTATGGAGTAAGCAGCACTATGGAGCAGTGTTTTTACAAGTGGGTCCCCTGAACCTAAACAGAAGCTTTGTTTACAAAAAAAACTCCAGGGCACCTTTAAAAAGTGATGAGATTATTTAATGTAAAAAAAATGGAAATGTAAACAATGAAAGGCCAGTTGACAGGAAGCTAATACAAACATAAGACAAACTCCACCGAGTGTTTTAATGGTGGGTCTTTGACTACAGATCATAAAGTTGAACTCAAACACGACCATAATTGTGTATTTTGGGAAGCCATAATTGATATACAATTATTCAGAGCTGGCAGCTGACATATGAGTTTTAAAACTACACTATTTCATGCCTTATACTCACAGACGCAAGTTGTTTTGTGTGTTAATCGGCCCTGTTACTCCTTCTATTTGCGACTAATTGTGTGTATTACCAAACAAACACATACATTCTTTGTATGGCTTCTTTGTATATGAGAACAATTCTCACAATCTTCTATCCTCCCACAACTTGACAATCAACAAACAACTAAAGATAGTATTGTTAATCCTGTGTTTACTATATCAGGGTGAATACCCTATTCTGAATACGTTTTATAATAATGGATTGTTCCAGGAAAATGAATTACAGGTATCACGATCCTTTCAGTGGTTTGTGTACAGCAAATTTGAAACTTTCCCTTTCACTACTTCTTTAAAATCACTAAAGACTTACTAACTTTTTGTTTTGTTTTGTTTTGTTAAGACACTTAAGTGTGCATTAGGGATCAGTATTAACATCCATATCCACACCATCTCCCCCTCAACCTGGTACATCCATTTTTCTCGCTCGCTCCACCAGTCGTGGTGCTGTGTGTACCTTTTGTAAACTTCGTACGTCGTTGGTTTATCTTATTATATCCCTTAATCTCCTTATTCCCCACTAATGCACTGTATTTATCCCCGCTCAATGTCTTAGACTGAGGGACAACTGCTAGCGAAACCAGCTAATGTTCCCTTACTGAAGAACGCCACAGTATTACTAATGAGATATATGGTAAAGATTATAATATCACAATATTATGAGTAATATTTTGAGTAATAGCAACAGTTTAGGTGGTGTAGAACCACAGCCAAAGTATATATTCTGTAATCAAAATCACAACATCATGCTTTGTTCTCTAATAAATGGTATCCTGACAGAAATAGAAAGAAATTAGATAGTGGTTGGCGAAGTCAACAAATTGACATTTGACAGTACATTTGGGCAAATTTAAAAAAGGCAGCCTGAAGGGGGCATAAAGGTCTGTACCAAATTTCATGACAATCAATCAAACAGTTGTTGAGATATAACAATTCACGTGAACCTCACGGTGGTATTAGTGAGAAAGTCAAGGAATCGTAAAAGTTGTAAGGATTCATCCTCCGGGGGTTATGAACGTGTACAAACTTTGAAGGCAATTCATGGAAAAGTTGTTAAGAGATTTTAGCTGCTAGCGTGGCTGCAAAACTTTTTGTATCATGCTCGAGTCTGTTGAGTGTTACATGCTTTGAATGCGTGACTGAACCACTCGTCTTCAAGAATATAGCTCACTGATCGATTCTGCATGTTGGCATGCTAGAAGTAATTATCCCGTACATATATGATGTGATATTGCGTCAGTGTTTGGTAAAATCTTCAGCAGAAGCAATCACGTTTAATTAAAGGATCATTAAATTTATCTGTCTAATTAAAACCTGCAGGTTTAATAATGTCATCTTTTCAAAATAGGTTTGATTAAAAAGCAATTTTCATTTTTCTTTCCAAGAAATCCAATACGTGTGGCACGAAGTGGGCACTTGAGCCAAGATTCCCCGACTATACGTGCATAAAAAGTTTATTTTATATTAAACTAAAAGAATATTCTTTATTACATGCAAGAAAATACATTATTTAGTGTTAACAAAACACTGTGAGGTAATTTTTGTGCTCTATTTTTTTAAACAACCTGTTGTTTCAGTGGACAGGACACTGAAACAGACCACTTAATTGCGACCCACAAATGCAGATTTATATTGTTCTTCTGTGACTTATGAATGCACTAAATCATCAGGAACTTAGCAAGCATCCTCATTTAGTCCACATATACTGACTAAACATCCTACATCTCAGTATTAATTATATTTTCATTGATAATATGACATGATGACAGTTTATGCCAGCTTTGCAGATACTTCCGCGGTCCAGCACAGTCCAGTGTGCAATCCTGTCAGCCTGTCAATCCCTTCCTTCGTCTACAGATATATGTCCGGAGCTCTATAGTTAAGCAGCCATTAGTCCTGCTGCATAGCTGACCTGAAAATAGTTTCACTGACAGCTGAAAAGTGGATGGTTAAATTGACTCAGTCTGAAATGACATTAGCTTTTAAAAAATCTGTGTTAACGTCATCACTTCTGAACGACCTCCAGAGGATGGAATACGGCGAAGGGCAACGCTAAATTATTAGTCAAGTGTCTCATTATAGCTTACTATTACCATAGCCAATTACACTGAATTCTGTCAGTCACTATAATTGTGAGAGCAGCACAAAATTAGGTGCAACAGATAGTATTAACTCTGTATTACCTAGACGATACAGGAGAACTCAATGAAAAGAACTCTGTAGGAATTGAATTATAATTTGAGGAGTGCATGTCTCACACAAATGGATAAGCAATAATAATCAAAAAGTTATTTCATAATTTACTTCTAAGCAGCCGTGTTTATGCAGGTAAATATGACAAGGTGGCAGATAATCAGGTCTTTACAACATAAACATACTCCAAACATACATATTTAAAATCTATTAATCTGGGAATGTCAAAAGGAAACAGCGTGGCAATATCTAGATTCAATAAAAAAAACTTTGAAACACTAATCTACTGATATTAAGTCACAATGTGAATAATTGTATCGTCATCTTGAACAAATAACAACGTTCTTTGACGTACAGACGAATCGTTTCATTCTTGAGCCTCATGAGCCTGTTGTCATTAAATAAATGTGAACTTTGTGATTTGAATTTAAATTATATACCAAATGCTGTATTGCCAAAGCTCAACACACGCAAAAGGAAAGATGGCTATGTCCAAGTTATTTGCTTTAATCAATCCATGCGTGATGTCCAAACGTCGTCTGTAATTTACCAGAGAAAAGGGAAATAAATTGTTGTATTAATGTTGGCGATCACTCTTATTGTCCTCAAATACGTGTGTTACAGAGTTGTCATTGAGCCAGAAGAAGGGAAAACTTAAGTCTGGATAAAGCTGACATGCTCTGGAACAGTTTGGTCTTCTGCAGTATCTGTGCGATATGTATCTTCTCATATTATTTTTTCATCCATCAAACTGGAAACAAATGTCTTCCACTGATGACATTTAACACAAAAGCATCATATTGTGATTAGTGTTATTCTGTGCAACCACTTATCAACAAGCTGCAGATTTAAAGGTGTGTAACATTCAGGAGGATCTATTGGCAGAAATGTAATATAATATGCATAACTATGTTTTGATTAGTGTACAATCACCTGAAAATAAGAACCGTGTTGTTACCTGAGAATGAGCTGTTACTATATACAGAGGGAGTGAGTCCTAACCCAGAACAGACAAACCAAACACTGGCTCTAGACAGGGCTGCTCACATTGTCTGTTTGTTAAGCAGCCACCGTAGTTCCTCTGCAAATACAAAGCTAAATACCATTAAATCCTACACAGTGGACCTTTAACTTACCATCTTACTAAGTTTATGGCAAACATATACATATATATATTTACACATCTAGCAGATACGAAGCAACATTAGCAATGAACTCTGTTTTGGTTAGTAACTCCTGAGGGACCCAACGTGTTCTCAAGCAAACTGTATCTGTTTGCTGTTTGGTGCTGGGCAGATAGAGTACAGTGAAAACTGCTGCATCTGAAAACAATGCTGATGAGAGCACTGCGAATGAAACAAAACAGTAAAGCTGCAGGCTGTAAAATCAAAACAGTGAGCTGAAAGATGCTAAAAAAAGGAGGACTGGGACATTATAAAATATTATAACAAAGTCTCACCAATGAGAAAATGTTAAGACATTTAAAGATATGAAGACCGATTGTTTAGCACAAAAAAAAACTTGAGATCATTAACTTGAGTTGACCTTTATGACCCCATTGAACTTCACCAATTAAAATGTTCTCCATGAGTGCCTCTGGACTGAAAGACAGCTTAGAGGCCAAATTAGGCTCTACTGCAGTCTTTGTCAACGCCAGCTTTGCTGGAAATGTTTATGCCCATTAATAAACTGTTTTCTGAATCCATTCACCTCAAAATTAATGTACAATCAATATATGAGCTGTGATCAAATATTCTATGTTATGCATGAGATATCTCCAGACCGCAAATGCTTGTTTCAACTTCTGTGGATCCTCTGTGCAGCAATTCAATTAAATGACTTTTTTTTTCTCACGCAACTTGGCCTCTGAGGCCTTTTGGGAATCCTGCTCTGGACATTAAAGGGTTGCTCTGTGTTTATGAGAAGCCCATCTATGTGATAATATCTGAACCACTCAGCTCAGTTGGACCATCTACATTCCACATAAAATAACACCTACGGACCTCTGAAGTAGCACGGGCAGCAGAGGCCTGCGGGACAAGTGAAGCCATATACAATAGAAGCCTTGTGCTCGAGTCAGTGAAAGAGATAAAACAGAGAAAATGAGCGGGGAGCTGGCATTTAGAGGAATGAGATGGGAAAGATAAATATCAGTCAAGTCTCATGTGAAGAAAATGATCAATGCAGACTTAGTGGTTTTGGATTGGCCTGCTGGATTGGGAGGTCAAAAGACGGCATACTGAGAGAGAAAAAAGAAGACGTAAACAGAGACATGCCAGCGAGGAGGGTGGGTGGTCAGAAAGCATCCTGTTTTCTTGGTCCCTTTTCTTTTCAGTGGTCATCTTGCATCAGTAAACTTAGCTAGTCTTTTTTAATTTTTTATTAATTATACGATTATAAATACTTTTTTTTACACAACTTATTCTGGATCACAGCCAAATTAACTCTAGCTGTCTTCTGTCAGCAACAAACAGACTATAATTATCATTTATATTCAGTCAGAATTTCCATTTACTAGTCCAGCTGATAAATCCAGCAATAAACTCATACCTGCTCAAGGAAAGCAGACTGAGAATCTCAAGCCACACAAGCAAATAAGGCTGTGTAAGAACCTGGTGACATGATACGCATCACAATGGGTTACGATTCAATATATTGCAATATACTATATATGTATGTATATATTACAAGATACTGTAAGCAAGGTGATATATAGCGATTAAAGAAAAAATATGGTAACATTTTAGAAAAACTGTCATAGAGAACACTTCACCATATGAAATTGACTTTTTACTTTTTCATGCAACTGAACAGTGAGATCTGCATTTGTGTTCGCAGTATCACCGTCACTCACTCCCTCCCTCCAAACATAGACTGTATAATTAAAAATGAATGGCAGGCTGAATGAAGCGTGGTTACTGCAAACAGCCACCTGTGACCTTTACTCCTTGATATAATTTAAATGGGTAAGTTATGCTGCTGTAAAGCTTACGGAGACTGATTGATTTAATTTGCCAGCACGGGGGTTACCACTTGTGTCCAAATTGTGACTGAGTTCACCACCAGCTGCTACCGGTGATAGCTTGTCAACTTTATTATGAGATATTAACACAACAGCAACTATCAAAACAATAGAAATATTCTTCATTTTAAGTAACTCTCACAGTGTGGAGTTTCTAAGGATGGTAAATTAGGCAGAAGGGGTGTGTAGCGCTCATATTTTCACTGTTTACTGACCACGTTTTGCCTTGGATTTGGAACAGTTACTGCAACTTTATAAACAATATATGATACGATGGTAATAAATTACAACTAGTGCTTTCACTACTTTGTTAAGCCACAGCTCAGTTTAAGCACAATAGTAAAGATTACCGTTACAGGTCTACATAAAACAGCTTTGACTCAAACTTTTATCTAAAACTGAGTGGAAAATTGTGCTTTTATAAATGCTAGGACAGCTCTCTGTCTACAGACACGCACACACAAACACACAAACCAGTGGCCTTTGTGTAGCAAACTCCCACAAGCGTAAATATCACCCGGCGGCCCTTTTTTTCCACAGTGGAGTCAAGAAGCAACAATACTGTCAAGTAGCTGAACACCCACTAAATGAATTCCAGATGCTTGGAGCTGAGAAACTGGGGCAACCATAGCAAAGTATTTCAGACATTCAACACATGTCCTGTTGAAGCCAGAATCATAGAGCACGTCTTTGACAGTAGCAGCTGACTGCATCACACACACACACACACACACACACACAGTGTACTATATATAGATAAAGACAAGCATACAGATACAGTATATACTGTATAAGCATATATTTTATCTAGTGTCAGTTTGTGAAAACTCATTTGGAGTCTGCTGAAGCTACATAAAAATACAATCAAACCTTCTAATTACCGTATTGAGGAGAAAAATATATCAGTCATGCATAACTCCTGAAATAATTATACATGATATGTTTACGAAAAATTTAAACATTGCAATCATTGTCAACTGCAGTTGCTTCCATTCCCTCTGAGAATGACAAAGACCATCAGTGAAGCACAATGTTTCTCACTAAATTGTAAATGCAGCTAATCTCAAAAATGCAGTTCAATGCAACTACAAAGTTCTATCATGACAAGAAATTGGTTTCCATGAATTTAGTGATGGATTCTAAACATTTAAAATTAAGCATTTAATTGTTTTTTCTTTTTATAAATCAGACAAATGTGACAAATTGTTGTAAAGTACCTCCCCAGTCCACCAGTAATCCTACAGCAGGAGGACTTGTTCCAATTATTTGATGATTATACGAAATTGAACACAATTATGAATCTGCCCTCAGGTCACAACAGGGTAAACTGTCTACAACAACATCATTAAACACAGCTGTGCACAAGCAAATAATCTATTTCATTAGTTTTCTTTGACTAGTGACAATAATTTGTTGACAGAGAGACCGTGTTACACAGAGAGCACTTATATTGGATCACTGCTTGCTATTGGCTTATACCCTGATCTGAATATATATAGATCTGTATATCATAGCATATTGTATCATATCATATAAAAATTAAAATCTGTCAAATGTCAGTGTTTGTAATCTTCTGGATACAGACAGTATCTTCCCATATCCAAGCGTATTACCACCTTGGATACTACATTAATTTTTGTGTGTTTATTCCAATGCAGTTGGATCAGTGCATTCATACTTTCAGGTATTATCCCTGGTCTGTCATTATCTTGTGCACGTACAGGACAAGTCATTATACCTACAAAATCAGCTGTTAATATGGTACCGACCGGAGCAAAATGAGTTCCCTTTGGGGACAATAAAGAACATCTAATTTAATCTGTGATCTGAGATGACAAGGTGTATGCCCCAGTATGAAAGCTTCCATCATTTTCTGCCAGATTTCAACAGACAGAGGAATATGGAGGTAATGTAAAATTCATGGACCCTCAGGTGCAAAGAAACTCTCGTTTTGTTTTGTTCTTTTATTCGTATACTGTATAAACAGTACATATACACTATATATATTCGTATCGATCCTGGTGGAGCCTCCTGCCATGGTCCTGCTAGATTGCCATTGCCAATACTGTTGTTGCTGTGCACCTGTCTGTCTCTCGCTCTCTCTCTCTCTCTCTCTCTCTCTCTCTCTCACCCCAACTGGTCGAGACAGACGACCACCCACCTAGAGCCGGAGGATCTGTCCTAGGTTTCTGCCTTTTAACAGGCAGTTTTTCCTTGCCCTTGTCGCCAAGTGCTTGCTCATGGTGGTACTGTTGGGTCTCTGTAATTAATGTTTTAAAGAGTTCGGTCTAGACCTGCTCTATTTGAAAAGTGTCCTGAGATAACTTCTGTTATGAATTGGCGCTATACAAATAAAATTGAATTGAATTGAATTGAATATATATATATATATATATATATATATATATTAGTTACCGATTGCCTTCAGGAGCTTTAAATATATGAATTCAAAAGGTTGTGGGCAAACTTTGAACTTAAAGAACACAAACTCAAAGTAACATGTCAGACAGCATTGTAGTCATACATCGTGTGTGGCACTCACTCCAAGAAGCGGGTGATATACTGGCGACTGCAGCGTGACCACCTGGGCAGGGAGGTGCCGTACAGGAGCTGTGGAGACATGACGAAAGGTCGTTTCCCAATGGGTTCACAGTCATTACCGTTGCCATCATGCTGAATCCCAAAGCTGTGACATAAGAGCACAGAGGGAAATTAAAGTGAGTGGGCACAACATGTAATATGTACTTCAAGGTACAGCTACAATGTGCAACAATAAACAAATACATGTTTGTGAACAGCGGAGGTGAGCCACAAAGTCACTGCAACAAAACAATCTGTGCACAGCAGTGATAAAGGAAAGCAGAGGTAAAAACAAACAAACTATTCTTAAACACATATGAGCATTCACACATCTCTGTTAAAGTGCAGATTGCTTATGTTTCATATCTACTCCTTCAAAGGCTGTGGTTGCTTTATGGTATTCTTCGTTTTTGAAAATTACAATTCCATTAAAAAAATAGGAGTTTGCACAGCAAGTCTGATTTTTATCTTTTTTATTAAAACAAAACATGTTCTGCAGTTTTTCTATGGCTGGATTTTAGCATAAAGAAACACTATGCAAACACATCTGACACTATGAAGTCACAATTGAATGATAACTTGCAACATTTGATTAAATAGCAATGAAACACTGCTGGTTTTCACCACATTTGGCTTTATAACATGCTGTTGGATATCATATCATATTTAGCATTTTGGAGAATGACTTTACATCACCAGTTTTACAACATCAATAAATAAATGAACCCCTTTACAGTAGCCTTTTGCCAGTCGCAAGAGTAGCTTCAAGTTTCCAACAGTGGCAGAAGGTCTGACAACATAATTTTCACTATGTTTATGCTTTTTACATATTCTTCCGTTCTTTTATTTTTTATTTCTTTAAAACTACCTCTACCGTTGCACCTTTGAGGGCTGAAAACAACCTCAGCCTGTCAGTCCACTGTTGGAACTTCAGTGAATTCATTTTCATTCTCTCCTGGACAGCCTGGTAATCACAAGGGGGCTCCCGTCAATCCAGGACTTGTTCATGCATTCAACAACCTTAAAAACACCTCTAACACCCACGACTACCTGCCATCCATATACACACACGGTGGAGAATAAAAGAGATACGATTTGAAAAGGTACTTCGGGCTCAGCTGGACCACAACAATCAAGATGAACAAATACAGTGAAGCTATATAATCACGTGTTGTTTGTTACTGATTGAAGTCAAGCTGAATTAGTCTGAAGTGAACGTGATTACAATAACAAATTACATGTAGATACAAATGGATCTGGAGGCTGATGCACAATTGTTGGCCACTGTTGTTTGTTTGACCTCTGTATGTGCCTATTACAGTTTGTATTATTCCTAAACATTACAAGAAGAAACATCTCGTCTCTGTGCACTCATATATGTTGTTAATCCTACTTTCAGACTCAGTATCTGTACATCCAGCGAGCTACAACGTAAGGACAAAGTAGGGAGTTTGCAAATAGCTTCATGGCTGTACTGTCTCAGGAAAGGGAGCCATTTTTGAAATTTAATATTACATGTCGAGGGCTCTCAATCAACAACATATGTGATTTTCCGCAGTGAACAACGTGGGCGAACAGGTTTGATACAGACAAAACAGCAGAAGTATGACAATTGCTGAGCTCTTCTTTCAGTCCCTTACTCCTCAGTCAAAGAAGCAGTGACAGTCATACAGATAATAAAAAAAACACCTCTCTCTTCCATTCTTCTATTTTTCTCCTCCCACACAAATATTCATAAATAGCTCTACAAGGAGGGCTGCAAGCTTATCAGAGCAGCAGACATTAGTGTTCTCAGCTAACGGGTTGCTATGGAATATTAATTAAGGGGATTTTCATTGGTTTGTTTTAACTCATCCAGAATTGGGACCTTAGTCGGGCAAGCCATGTGCTTCCAAATCAAATGGACCCAACAAAAATAATAAAACACTCTAGTAGGTTGAGTAAAATATAATTTGTGAGGGAGGTTTCACACTGTGCTTTTCCCCTCAGTTGAGATTACCTTTAGAGTGTTTGAAGAAAACATGTGTGTTTTTGTTTGTTTGAATGTCATTTATTTCCTTTAATCGTGGCGTCTTTTGTGAAGTCACTAGAGGACGGAAATAAATCCTCAAAGTCAAATTTTAAAAAGAGGTAATTAAGTTGCGAAAAGAATTATGATAAAATAGCAGTAATGAGCAACAGAGTGTCAGGATAATTAGCTAGTTCTCCTACAGCTGATAAAATCTGCCAACAACAGGCAATTCAGTCAGAAAATCAACCTAACAGCTAGAAAGGAGAGGCCTACTTTTCTAGTACATCTGTTATCATTGTAAGCTGTATATGTGGCATGTGAGACCAGAATGCTTAAGGGGGGACGGGGCTTAGCGGACAGTTAATTGCATTTTAACTAATCTTTTAATATTTAATGGTGATACTATAATCATGACAAAGTACCTAAGTGATCACACACAACGTTTTTATAATTTTTCTCCTGCTGATTATTTGACAATGTGAAGATAAATCAGATTATAATAACGTGTGTATGTGTTTGTGTGTGCGGTTAAACCTTACTTGTGTCCCAGCTCATGAGCTACAGTGAAGGCCAATGGGAGGCCCGTGTCCTCACTGATGCTGCAACTGCGATGTGGCTGACACATCCCAGCCACATGAGACAGACCCAGAGTCTCACAAGGCATGTTGATGGATGCACAGATGTCCTTCCTGTGAAAAGTGAAGGTGGAGTGTTGGTCAGATATCGGTTGAAACAGAGGGCAGTGTCAAAGACGATGCATTGGAGATCTGAATTATAAGATGAAGGAGAACAGATAAAAATGATGACAGGGGAAACAATAGGGGAAGGAGGTGGGGGGAAACCAACAAGAAATTTGGCGCACACCGTTTGCATTGATAATACGTCTCATTGAGGTTAATTCTGATAAACTAAGCAAGTAGTTTTTTATCAAGTCAACAACATTTCAGTCATTAATTCTACTATATTTCACGTAATAAAAGTTCACATCATGTAGTAAAATGTGTAAAAAGTTGGAAAGGTGGCTGAAGCTCAGGATGTAAAGCGGGTTGGCAGTTCGATCCCCGGCTCCTTGAGCAAGATACCGAACCCCAATGGGGATGCTGTGCATCGGTGTGTGAATGTGTATGAATGTTGGTTTCTGTTTGTGATGAGCCTTTGCCATCACTGTGTGCATGTAGTATAAAAGTGTTTTTTGTGGTGGAAAGACTAGAAAGGCGCTATGCAAGTACAGTCCATTTACACAGTTTTAGTTAATTTAATTATTTATTTCTCAGGGACTGTGCATATAAATAAACACTGATGTAAATATACCAGAATTAAGCAAAAAGCTAGTTTCCATCTGTAGTTCCTGGCCAGGTATAAAAACTGGCAGTTCGAAATCAGTGTAAATTACAATTACAATAAAAGCAGAAGACACACATCAACAAAAAACAACAACATAGCAACAAAAGCAAACAAGGACAAACATGACCAAAGAAAATGAAAGAAGAAAAAGTAAAAATAGAGAACAGCTTCACAGCAACGAACATTAGCAAAGACGAATAAGAGCAACAGAGCGGCAGAGAGTAGCAGCTAGTGGCGCCTACTTTAATGCTACAGAACAGCAGCATAAAAGGCAGTGAGTAACAGGGCACTACAGCAGCATGCAAGTAAGCTGACAAACATTTGCAAAATGAGGAAGGCATCTCAACCTCTGCTGACAGATCTGGTGGTTTATTAGCCACTGGTACAGCATTCCAGTTGTGTGTTGCTTTAATAAAAAAGGCAGATTGATTGAAAGCAGATTTTCTTTGTTGGACAATACAGTCCCCTTCTGAGACTCCTCTGATTTGTATTTACTCGTTGCTTAACAAAGCAACAGAGTGGAGGACAGAGGATGGATGAGTTGCTGAAATTCAATGTCTCCTGCGAAGCCAAATCAAACACATCCACTAGTCGGACAGTATGTTGTACATTTTAAGCATTATTCCATCTTTGCTCCAAGCATTTATTTTCCTCTTTCCTCGTTTGGTTGGCGGAGTGAAGAAGCCAGAAACAGACTTGGTTCTGAGTCGTCTATTCTCAGCAAACAGTCTAGAACCAACTTCCAACAAAATACCAACAACAACTCGCCTTCTACTCGCTGCCTCATGCTGTTTCCATGATTATGATCGTACTTTGAAAATGTCATAAATGTAATGTCTATATGCTGGAATCACATACTGTATTGGAAAATGGCCACATTTAAAGTTGGAACAATTTCATATATAAAACATACTGTATAACAAAAGATCTATCACATATATAAATCTATATAAATATATAAATAGTGTGTGTCTGTTTTATACATATTTTAATCAACTACTGAAGCTGTTGCTGCTGCTCTGCTAACACGCGGTTAACACTATGTCTCCTGTGTGGATAGATACTCTGTCAGTGTTCACAGATCTATAGGCGATAACCATCAAGGACATCAGTGAACTGACATACCACTGACATACCACCGTCTCAGAGGAACATTTGGTCCACTTCCACCAAACATAAAATTTCTTATAGGTAGGAAGTTGAGTGACTTCAGTACGTGACTTCAACAATACAACGTGTACTGAGCTTAATTTAGTTATGGTTTGGTGCTATACAACTAAAACTGAACTGAATATGTATCTCCAATGTTTCTGTTGTACCTGGTTCATAAGAAAGGACCTTGACCTTTGCACTACAATTATACCGCTTATTTATACATTTTTATACATTTCATATATGTGTCTAGGTTTTTCTCTTTACTTCATTGTGTTGTTACTGTGTGTAATGCTGCTGCTACACTGCAATTTCATCTATCTGTATGTGTCTTCATTCTTTATTCACCCACAAAATGAATTTTTTTTTAAATGTGAATAATATGAATAATGTGTAATTTAGGGAGTTTCATACTGTTCAGTATAATTGCTTCATTATGCTCTACTCACTTGTACCAAACTCTTGTGGGCTTGTGTCCATTCTTGATTCCACAGCAGGAGTGAAACTGTTCACAAAGAGACTAATATCTCCTTGGAGTTTATAGATATGTTCCAACTTTAGCAAATATATAAAGGGAGATATGGGGTGGGATCCCTGTGAGGCTCAGTTAAAGGTTTGTATTGGCAGGCTATAAAGAAAGTTAACCATTATGAGCAATAAAGATGAAAAATATATATATTTCTATTAGATAAGTAACCAAATTGCGCCTGGATTAGGAACTTGTATGCCATGAAAATTTGATCTTTTTACTGAAAATGATGTTCTTTATAACATCAAAAAAAGGTCTATTTGTTCCCAAATTAGAGCTGGCACACTGCCTCCTCATACTGAAACACATCTGCACGCTTTGGAAGAAGAAAGTCAAAATCGTGGCCTGAAATGGTTGTTTGAAAAAGCCCTTGCAAACTGGCAACTTATTTAGTGAATGCTTGAGAGTTCAGGATTAATAAACTTGATTTATTTCATTTTTAGTGTGTAAATAAAATTAATTATTGTTTCTTGCATTTCAGCTACTGAGCCATCTGGAATCTGATCAATTATTCTGATAAATTCTATTAGCGGCAGTGTTAATTCAGGACAGTTCATTACAGCTGACATAACAACTGTTACATTTCAAAGCCCAAAAGACAACTAAATAAGAAAGTTTGTCATCCAGGCGCACACGCAGCTTTGATTCTTCTTTCAGCAACTATCTAAATCAGTAAATCAATAACGGCTCTGGAATGACATGATAAAACCCAATTACATATTGACTCTCTTGGAGGATGTGATTATGAGCGGTTGAGAAACAAAGAGAGCTTGGTGAATTGTTACCTACCTGGTGAGCAGAACTGATACGTCATGGTGCAGCGGGTGTTCATCTCCTTTCATGTTGAGTTTCTTCTGCCACTTACAGAAGCTGTTCAGGCTGTTGTCGGCATGGTGTGTAATCTTTAAGTCATCCTGTTCCCCACGTGTCCCATTGAGATGAAGGGAAGAGAACATGACGTGAGTAAATCAAATGTTAGCAGGTAATGTAATTTTAAGTTTACAAAGTGGGCCGAAGAAGATAGAAGAAAAATACAGGTTCTATTTGAGGTAAAGTGCAATGAAATAACTGCTTTAGGTCCAGTGAAATTGCATGATGTCTAAGATTGTCAATCATTTGATACTGCCTTTAAGAAGCCCTAATAACAGTAATTCGGACAAAAGTAAGGTAACAGCATCACTGTGACGAATACTTAAACTTTTGCAACACCAATTTCCTTCCATTAACCCTCTCAGCAGCAAATTTATGCACAATTACTTAACTTACACTTTCCAGGAAACATTTATTGCCATATAACTATTGAAGCACATTTTATTTATTCTTTTATTAATCTGGTTTGTCATAGTATTATCAGTTTACTCATTTGTTCTGTTCACATCTATATCCTATTATCTGCTGCTGTGAAAAAAACTACACGAAACATTTATGTTCTGATAAATTTTGACTGCTGTCTAAAACATTATGCACAAATTATTCTGAACTACAATTACCTGAGTATGAGTCATTATGAATGTCATTAGGCAAACAATAGGCTGTACGTACAACGGGTTTCATTTAATATCTGGCCATCACAGCTAATCTGTTAACATTCAAGTCCCTTTGACTTTCAGACGATTATTTCTATCTATAAAAATGTTTATCTATCTCTTTAAATTAACACCATAAACCCCACAATGGGTGCTTTTATCAACACAAAGTTCCTTAATGCTTTAAATAATAAATCTGTGATGATACATTTAAATTCAGGTTGTGCTTTAACTCCACTTGGAGCATTTGTAAAATTCACTGTCTGTCTGACCCACTGCTGCCTTGTTCATTACAGTAAACTGGGCTGCTGTTGTTTTCCCTGAGGTAGCAGAGGCAACACACATGAACAGACATTAAGATTAAATTTTTTTACACAGTTTATGATTATGAGATGATTATTTGACTGATTTCGTTGTGGCAGCTTCACTGTGCATGTCATCACATTATTACTGCACACATGGTGCTCGGTATTCCTTTAAGTAATAAAGCCGATTCCCTGTTTTAAAATGGTGTAATCCAGAATTAAACACGTTTCATCAACATAAACAAACCATGTTTTTACCTCATCCTGCTCCAGTAGGATGAGTCGAACAACCACAATGTTGATTGCGTTTCCAATACTGGCATCTCGGAACAGACCTGCCACCTGAAAAAATACATTCATACATTTAGACAATATATATGTTGTTGATATAAAATTAGGGCCCCTAGCAGTGAAGCTGAAACCGCCTGGATTATTATTCTTAACCACAATAAATCACATTTTTGGAGGCTGCAACATGCTCCAAAATGGCTAGACAGTGTTCCCTTTAGAGCAGCCACAACGGCGCATGTTTGAAATTCGGAACGCATGTAGATCATGTTCAGACGTACAACCCATATCCCAAACCCGACAGGACAGTAGGCTTTTTGGACTCATTTTGGGCGATTTGCACGCATTGTATTTTAACGAACTCCTCCCAGGGAACTGATTGGATCAACTTCTCATTTGGTCAGTATAATCTTAAGACCATTACGATTAAAGTAAGGCGATTTCTACGTTTTTGTCCGAGGGCGTGTCCGTGGTGAGGCGCAGAGTTTCCATTTTTCAGCCAAGAAACTGGAAGTTGCTGTAACTTCAGTGTCCTTCAACCAAACTGCACCAAAATGCACGTCTGATAAGAGTCCTGCCCTGAACACATCGGCATGACACAGCCGCACCACACCCCAACGTGGGTGGAGGCAAGGGCCTGTCATCGCTGCTTGTAGCCTTAATTAAATCGTTAAAGAGTTAACTCCACACTCATGCATACAGCTACTGCTGCAGCCAGTTCCTATGAATATCTAAAGAAGATATTTAAAAAATCAATCCCACATTTTTATGCAAATTGTTCCTGCCAGGCCAGAAAGCAAAAAAAAGAGGGTAAGCTACAGTTGGGGTACCCGATCAGTCTTGGGAAACATCTGTTAGTGATCCCAGTCAAACACAGCATTTTTAAAGGACCAGTTATGAACATGAACTAGTTTTAATCTGTGTGAACTGAACTCTGAGCTTACTCTTGTAAAGTGTGAACTTGCAAAACCTGTTTTTATATATTAAAACAAAAAATGCTGTCTAACAGTTATGTCAGAGCTATTACAGCGGGAGCTGACTTTGGGAGTTATTTGACTGTTGGATTTCCATTTCAAGGCCAGTCCATATACAAATAAACATTCTCCTTAACAGAAAGTCTTCTTTTCTTTACTCTTGTCCTTATAATAACCTAATAACCTAAAAAAACAACAACTAAGGTATTGTTTGGAAACAACCACCTAAAACCTGAAGGTTTTCTGAAAAACCGAAAGTAAATTTCCAGAAATCATACAACAATGACTTGTTTACAAGTGGCACTGAAATAAACTCCAGCCAAATTTTCAATAAAAAACAAACTAACTGACTCTTTCCGCTCTGCCCACTCCCACTCACCTCTCCTCTCGTTGCAGATAACTTCACTTACTGCCTCTGTGTTTTTAACCATCTATGTGATTGTCTGCCGCCCGCCCCGCGCTGATTGGTTTCACCTTTCCTTCGTTATCGTCCCCTTTCTAGTGTATTCAGTGTGTGTGATCCCCTCATTCAGTGCCAGTTTGTCTTTGCGCCCAGTGTTTTTCCTTGTGTCTGGTGTTTCCTGCTCATTTGGATCTCTGCCGGTTTGTCTGACCTCGCCTTTGTCTTCTCCCTTCCTGATTTACTACCTGTGTGGCAAATCCTTTTAGGCAAATAAATATTGTTTTTTTTTAATCAAGCTTCTGTCTCTGAGTGGTGCTTTTGAGTACATTTGCTTGTGGTTACTCCAGTCAAACTGGTAATGGTAGTAGTATACAACACAAATGTCAAAACATCATGTCTTTGATTTGAGTTTATAGTTTGTGCTCAGCTAACATGAAAGGTGTAAAAACTTGTGCCATAAATCCAAAAAGAATTCCTTATTTTAAAGAAGTGTGTTGGATTTAGTGGCATTTGTTGATGTAGTTACAGATAGCAACCCTCACTACACCCTCGCCTTCCAAGCACGAAGGAGAATGGTGCCCGCAGAAAAAGGCTCAAAAAACACGAACGCCCCAATCTGAAGCCAGCTTTGTTCGTTCTGGGCTACTATAGAAACGTGGCAGACTCACGAGAAGGCAAAACACTGCATCTAAAGATAAAAACAGCTCATTCTAAGGTAACAAAAACACAACGATTCTTATTTTCAGGTGAATCTACACTAATAAAAACATATCTATGAATACTATATTCCATTTCTGCCAATAGATCCTTCTGAATGTTACACACTGGACCTAATAATAAGATGATCTGCCTGGATGTTATTTTATATCTAAAGCATGAAAACCTACTGAAAAACTGAACCATGTAAATGGAGTGTAAAAATCAACTGCATTTAAATAAGTCATGGTCTTGCGCTGAGGTGGCATGTGACAATTCAGTGAACCACTTCATAAAGGGCAGGAAGCTATATGATTACAGGAGTAGAGGGAAGAGTCAAGGTCTCAAAGACAGAACCGTGAAACAAAGGTCTGAGGTGAAAGGAAGTCACACTAGTGAGATGCAAGGCTAAGAACATCATTATAAACTGTTTCAGAGATTTCCTCTAGGAGCAACACCAAACCTTTATGATAAATGTCTATTAAAGATCCCTTCCGGACATGTATTAAGACATATACAAAATAGTCTGCTTGGAACAATAATGAGTGTCTAATGGGTTTTCCCCTCCCCCAAAAAGTACAATAACCATATTAACATCTACTCCTTCTACCGCATTAAAAAACCCAGAATCTATGAATATATGCAAGTTTCCTCCTTCCTCCCAGGTCCTCCTTCACTGTAAAGTCTATTCTCAGTGTATGTGCACTGGTGGCTTCATGTTTCTACATCACACTTGTATAATATGCACAGAGAAACTTTCCACTGAACATAAAACATCCTTCTGGTGTCAAACTACATACGTCAGTGAAAACAACATGCACAGAAACTGAAGAAAAACATATTTAAAGTGAAGAGGGAATTTAAACTCAAAGGGGAAATGCCCTGAGAGACTGGTAGCAAGTCTCGCTTTGTGCGTATCACAGACTGTATTTCTGTCACGGGTGGTTTTTGGTTCCCCCCCCAAAAAAAAAACACAGATGCAGTAGTATGTTGGATTCTCTGCTTTCATTTACTGCCACATATCTTTTGTCCTGTGGTGGAGGTAAAAATGCCTTCCAAAAAACATTCTACACTATAATTCATGCAGTTCATAGGCTTTTCATTTCTCATTCATTCATTATGCATGTTTCATAATTCATGAAGCTCCAGCTTTCCATCGACATTTCAACACAACAAAAGAGTATTTATCTGTTCAGCTGAAGCTAACATGATGCTGTCGTAATATATCAGTGAAAGTGAATGATTATAAAGTGTGATGAACTCAATAAATAGTCAAGAAGCTGCAACAGATTAATGCCAAGGACCAAGAGAGAGAGAGCACGTTATTCTGCATTTATAAATAAGCACTCCAGTCTGATGACCGTTCAGTTACTACACAGCGTTAGAAGCAACATTCATATAATACTGGTCAGATTCCTTTCATTTTTTGCCCAGATGTCAACACACTAAACCTTCTGTACAAGTTGTGTAACTGAGGCACTTCAGACAGATCAGCTCTGATGGACACAAAAGACTTAATTCATCAAAACTTTGTTTCTCCCAGTGTCCATTCACAGATATTTGTGTTACACATCTTGTTGCTCAATCAACTTCTGCAAAAGCTTTTAAAAGCTTAACGGTGACATTAAATATGGTTTCAGTCTATCTTTATCCATTTGTTTTGTTAACCATTGTTTATCATGTGAATAAAAATAAAACTGCAGCTATTTAAAGCTCATGGATTTTTCTGCAACAAAGTGCTGTTGATTTCACGTTTCCTCTCAAGCTGCACGCTGTACATTTGCACCTACTTGAAGGGTAAATAGCGCTTGGTGATTATTCCTGCATTTTTCATCCATGTGATCTGTATGTTTGCTGACATATAATAAATATCCCAAAGAAAATACAATAATTAACTGTAAGATCACTCTTTTGAAACGACTTTGGGAGCTATTTTTGTGAAAGGGTGTCCGATTTCTTTCTGCTGAGATTGACTACTCTGGCTGTTAAGTGTCTGTAAATCATACCACTGGGTTCATACAATACAGCTTGTGAAGCTGAAAACTTCAAGACAGCGTCTGTAGTGAGACAATGGAGCAGCTGCCTGAGGAAGATGATGCCATTACTTATTGTTTGGACACGGGTAAGAGGTTGTTTCCCCTGATGCTGTGCAAGATTGTTTTCACAAAACTGAACCATTTGGGGCTTTAAAGTTCAAAGCAGGAGTGCGAAGGACTCAAAAAAAGAACCATGAGAGGATGTGTGGGATAATGGCTGCTTCCTCCGTGTATTATTGTCTGTTAAGTCAGTTAATCCGTAGGCTTCTGTCAGTGGATTCCCTTTCCTGATGTTCTCTCCTCTGATAGCACTTTCAGTAGCTGCAGTCAGAGCAGACTTGGCTGGAAAAAAACACTTATGCGCTAATCAAAAGCAGACAAGGAGTCAGTTTACTTAACCCCTAACTAGGAGGTGGTAATAACATTGATTGCTGAAGGCTGGGGAGTCATGGTTGAAAAAAACCCCAACATATATGAGAAAAGTTTAATCCATCTATTGTGTTACGTGTCACAGGATGGAAAAACTGAAACAGAATCTGGTCTCAAACAGCAGTATCATTCAAAACATCTGGGAAAATGTTCTCACATCCTGTAACTTTGTATTCAGAAACATCTGAAAGGATTATTTCATTGTTTTAGTATTAATTACAACCTATGAAATGATTCTGTAATGTTGGCTTTAACTGTGTAATCAAGTTATGCGTAACAATATCGGGTAATAATTACAAAATGTATAATAACAGAGATTTTACAGATTAATGCAGGTTATCATATTTTTTTAGAGATTACGTATTTAATGCTGTTGTGAGAAAAACTACATGTTGTCCACACGTTTACCTTTAATATTATTTTGTATGATATGGCCTTATTAGTTAATGTTAATAATATTATTTGTTTGCAGCAGTTAAAAACAGGAAAAAACCACAAATAATACTGTCAAATCCCACATATCTTAATCTTAAAATGAAACATTCAATGAGGGCCTAATTAGGAATATAAAATACATGACCCTTATCAAATGTGTAATCGTGTCATATTCAGAATAATAGTGGAGGATGAGTGTGCAGTCAGTGATTTCAGCGATTGAGCCCCCTATGTATAATCACATGAAAACAAACCAATTTAAAATCATTGACAGCAATCACACAGAAGCAAATCATCACGCGTTAGTGCCTGCATTTTAATTCAGTACCATTTTTGTGTACGACTGGCAGTGTTTCTGTGAGCTGTGTACAGCTGTGTGTGTGTACGTGTCAGACCAGTCGGTTGGTTTGTGTTTCATTTATTCACAGTGGGTTGTCAAAGTGATCATGACACTTTCTTCATTTTCTGGTGTTTTGACTATTTTCATGTGTTTTCATAAATTGCATTGAGCTGAACTTTTGTATGTGTGCTAAGCTACAGCACAGGTCTGCACATTCAATGCAAGGGTTGGATGAGAAGATTGATACCACTATTATGTCTGTATGCTCTATCCAAAGGCAAGAAAATCTGCCTGGCAGCACCTCCAGAGCTTACTAATTAATACATCTCATTTGTTCAATCCCCACTCGTTGCCTGGCAGCCTCACTGTGACGACTGATGACTCTAAGAAGTCACTGCTCCCAGCCAAGGAATAGTTCTAGCATGTGACCCTCCGTAAAACCACAAAATATCCAGGATAATTGTTGTTTATTAATTAAACTAGAATTCAAACAACATTTTGATGCAGGGAAATGTCAATGTTAATGTAAATGTGACATACTTACAATGTTCATGACAGCGAGGACGTAGCTTTCCACAGCTTTGCTCCCATGATACTCCACCATTTTAGGGTCAGCCACCACCAGCGTTTCCACCCACTTCTCTTTGCTGACTGAGCGTTGGTGAATTCTCCTCCTTCGCCTCTGCTGGCGGTGCTCCCACCGCTCCCGCTGTCTCTCAGTGTCTTCAAAACTTTGATGGGAATCTAGAGATGGGAGATAGAAATAGACATTTAAAACTTTCTTACAGAGGCACACCAGGTATGACTTTTTAACTTGCCACATATATTCTGTATTTTTCTTGGATCAAGGCCAAAACCTGCACATTGCCTCTCTGCGTGTCTTATTCTTCCTCTCTTTATTAAAATATTAAGTTGGTATATTAGGTGTTATTTAAACGCTTAAATAACAAATGATAGGAAATCAATTTAACTTAAAATATAACTAAATGACAATAGAACATGTTTACCCACTTTCAGTAAGGGATAGTTGTTGTTGTTTTTTGTCTGTTTTTTGAGGGAATAACCCCCAGAAACAACATCCTACATTGTTTTCTCCTGTCTCATGGAATAATCTGCAATGTTGCCTGTAAACTCTATGCTGTACCTTCTTAATTCTGTTATTCTTTTTCCTTTCCTATGTATCATTTAATCTACTCAGAATTATTTTAGCAAGAAGTTTATAGTATATAGTAATGACCTCACATTATTAGGACACTAATTAAATCATCTTGTGTCAATATTTGATGTTATTTTACTGCATAAAGACTGTTCTTCTTTTCTAGTAACGATAATTATGATGATTTCATTTTATTGTTAACAGTAAATTGCCGTGAAAGAGCATTTGTGTTCAGCTGGGGTTGGGTTAATCAGACCAGCGTGAGCAAAAACAGATGTGGTTATTTTATCCATAAACATTAGTTAAATAAAATTACATATATTTAATATATTATATATATATATATATATATATATATTTTTTTTTTTTTTTTTTTTTTTTTTCTTACCTTCATTGCTGTAAGTGACTGATTCACGTAATAATGTATTCATAAGCTCAAAGCCCATCTTCTTGATTTTTCTTGGATGCTCAGTTTTCTTTTAGGGTCAATTAAGCCTACTCAGAATTTGAAGTAGCTGATTTATAAGCTACGAAACTTCATTGTTTTTATTCATCTGACTAATTATTGGCTAAGCCTTGGCATAATGTTGGCTACTTATACTGATTGATCCTCACATGCTGTCTGATGGCATATTAATACAGAATTTCAAGTAAAGAATTACACTTTTTAGGTATTGTAAAACATTTAAGTGTCACTTTGAATATGGTGGTTGTGTGTGTGTGTGTGTGTGTGTGTGTGTGGTGAGCAGAAAGTGATTTACTTTTAATTCCACAGGTGCCGTTGAGAGGTTGGTTCCCTGAGATGGGCTGTACGACTGGACTCCAGTTGGGAGAGGACGCGTGGCGTTTGTAGATGGCGTGGGCTCGTGGTGCTGAGGACTCGTCGCTGGACTTCTCCACAGGTTGAATGAAAAACTCTTCGTCAGACAACTTGAACAGTCCTGTCTAAAGAAAAGAATGGCTGAGAGTTAGTTTTCTCTAAATGTTTCAAAATGCTTTGAGGCCAAATAATGTACTTCGCTGACTTGTTTTGATCTTCTGCCACCATTGATATGAGTAGACATATAAAGTGACACATCACCGTACTGCAGTACTGCAACATTTTGTCGATTAATCAAACAGTTGATAGAGAAAATTAACAACTAAACTATTTTAAATAAGTCGATTAGTTGTTAGAAATCATGCCAAAACATTGAGTGGTTCCAGGTTCTTAAATGTGAGAATTTGCTGCTTTTCTTGGTCTTGCATTGCAGTAAATTGAATATTTTTAGGTTTAAAATAAGAAATAGATCAGATAAGAATAAATCAAGTGATGAATCAGTTAACCAAGAAAATAATAAGAAGATTAATTGATAATGAAAATGATTGTCAGTGGCAGATATAGATCCCAACAGAGGCTAGTACTTCATTATCTGTATCTAAATAAAACCACTGCTGTATTATTAGTATGTTTTTTTATTAGTGATCCTCCATGTATATTTCTATTTATGTATTTTTTGCTGATTTGTTTCATACTGATAATGTTTTAATGTGTGCAGTTCTGCAGATGTGAAGCAGTTCCTGTTACTGGGTGTAGCTAACGTTTTGTTAATATGAAGATAAGGAGTTAGGAGTTGTGTTTGGCCATTTTGGGCAGTTTTAAGCAGATATACACTCAACAGAAGAGCTGTATGATTATGGCAGTACGGGCTAATCGAAAACCTCCAACACACATTACTAAGACAAGCAGTGCTCTTTACCATTTTGTAGCTGCCTTTGCCTCATGATGAGCCGATAAAAAAACACTGTTAAAAATCTGCTGTCACAGTAAAACTGTCAAATATATCAGTTGAAAACATAAAATCAGACAAAACTGAGGAACCTTTCCAGCTTTTGGTACAGTATATAGTCTTAGTTGTTGTATATTTTGTCTTCAAAAGCTGTCTAATAAATACAAAAAATGGTCCTGAACAAACCCCACAACACCAGCCTGTCCTCAGCACACAAACACAAAACCAAGTAAGCTTCAAGTAAAACAGAATAAACTGTCGGATGTTTTAAGTTTGCTGTAGAAATCCAGAGCCCAGCCGTGACAGGGAGAAAGATCGGGTGTCACATAAATTACTGCACCCTAAACCATGTTGGCATGATGCCAAAGCTTCAAATTCCAGTAGCCCCCTCCTTTTTTGTGTTGACCATCCTTGCCCTATATTTAATTCTTGGTCACCCTCTGCTCCCATTAACTCTCCCTCAGCTGCCACAGAGTCACACTGAAGCTCAGACAGGAGGACTGGCTCTACGATATATACATTATGTACATGTGGGGAGTTGAGTAGAGCAGGACTGTTACTTTTTACATCTCTTAAACATATAATAACAATACATAAAATGGGCATTGACACATAGGATTGGATGTTCAGACCATTTTAAATAGTTTTTAATTTATCTTCTGTTTTAGTACATACCCCCTGAATGTGTGAAAAACAGCACTGACTGTACTAATGCAGTGAAAGCAGGTGAAATTAAATCATGTGTTTGCGTTGTCTATTACATTTATATCTCCCGATGGGGTATTCAGAATTGTGCATGAATTTCCAATATCAGCAATGTAAAGCATGTCTGTGTTTTCACTCATTATTTACCACACACGACTCATGCTTTTAACATAAATGCACAGGCTAAATGCAAACACAACATTTGCTGTTGTAATCACATCGCACTGGGGAATATACATTGCTGGAGTGCATATACAGTATTAAGACTGCTTTCCATTATGAGCTCTGTAGATATCTGTCATTCTCGCACTCTGTTCTTTGTGTCTGCTCTGAATCTCTGGGGTTGTTTCCACATCACTGTCACCAACAAAATCTCAGCACTGCAACATTTATTTCACCCGTTACCCCACTTTGAGTTCTTATTTTTAGCCTGACCCAAAACCAAGAATGTATCCCATCTCTTCAAGGAATAGACTCTGATGTGAAATATACATATTTATAAGCACAAGTAGGTAAAATCCAGTTTATTTTTGAGCAGCAGCTTCAACAAAAAAACTTTAGTTTCCTTTAATTCTATGGTGCATGAATGCAACACCAAGCTTGAACGTGAACGTGACTTATTATTGGATCGAATCTTCATTTAGCCCATCAGACAAAATCATTTTTGTATATTCATGTGACATTTATGGTTCAGCAACAGAGTGTTATGTAGATTAGATCTTATTCTCCACATACACACTACACAGGCTTTGGTAGACATGTCATGTTTGCTTTGATGCTATTAAAGGTAACAATTGCTCTTCTGTGCCATTACATACACCATGTGCATGTTTGGAACAACAAGAGCTGCTGTGCTCCTCAACAGGATGTCAGATATTAGCTCTCTGACCATTTATATGTTTTTATGTTATGTTGAGAGCACTTGAAATGTAATAACACTAATTACAGATGCTTGAATACCCTGTAATTTGTGCTCTTGGAAATTAAGCAATTTTGATTTCTAAAGACAGTGTGCAGATTTATATAAAGCACAATGATAAAAAAAACATAATATAAACATAAATATACTGACTGGTCATTAGTGGTTCTGAGCATTTTGTGTTTGTAGGTGTCTGATAATGAATTATCTTAATGGACTGGAAGTGAATCACTTCTGTGTGGTAAAAAAGTCATATTGCGATTATTTTGACAGGTTTTTTTCATCACAATTTTATTTTTTACTGAAAAAAACAAATACTAAACTCATGATGACGTGACATCTGTTGGGGTCTGTAGTATCAAAGAAACACATTTTCTTCCATCTGTAGAACAGGATTTGTCCAAGTCATCTCTTAAGAGCTTGAGTGCTTTATTATAATCCTATCTACTACTACTACTACTGCTGCTGCTGTTGCTGCTGCTACTGCTACTACTACTACTACTACACTATACTCCCTGTACTATGGGTGAGGGTGAATATAACACCATATGACCATTAACACAAGCTTTAAGGAATAAATAATTTAATGTTACAGCAGTAGGAAAAATTCCAGCCATTGTAAGACAGTTAATTATTTATTTTTTTTACAGTGTTTTAATAAATAAATAGCCAATGCTCAATAATAGTCATATTACTTGCCTGGCCATGAAAACATCTGTGAGGCTGATGAATTTTTCAATAATGGCTGGCATATATTATCTATCAATATTTAACAATGTATACAATTTATTAAATATTGATTGGATCTGCAGCAGTTTGCTTGACAGACGGCCTGAGAACACACTGTGCGATATGATATATACACATCCTGACAGAGATGTGTCCCTCCCATGTAATAATATTCTATTTATGGGACATTTCATTTGCAAAAATAGCTTCTGGGTGATCAATTTAGATACAAGGATTCCTAACCTCCTGAGTAATCAGTCGCAGAAGGTTGTAATGGGAGTTGCTATATATTATTTATCTCCAGAGCTTCTTTATTTGTTCATCAGTCTGTCAGCAATCAATACTTATTTAATAAAATAAAGTATTTTTAGAGTGGTAATGACAGTAAGGAAGAAAGTAATTCAGCCCTAAAGTAGTTATTTGACAGGTGTGATGAGTTATGCTCCTGCCACAGTGCAACTACAGAAACAATAATGGATAATAAAGTCTCACATAAACCATAGAATTAGAATACTTAGGTCTAAATCCCTATAGTTCATATATATAGTACCTTTATTACCTTTAAGTACCTTTTGTCGTAATACAATAAAGATTTCTGATAACTGATCCCTTTCAAGTGAAAGTGACGATTTTAAAAACTCTATCACTTCAAAGATAAAGCAGATGGAGATTAGCACTCATGCTTCAGGACATTAATACATACACACTGGCTACTTTATCATCAGGTACACCTGTTTGTACAACAGTCAGCTCCTCCAAACAGAAGACTGCATTTCCACAGCTCCATATTTAAATGGTGCAGACAGAAACAACAGTCAAATATCTATTTTACAATATCTGGGACATGTCACTCTTTCAGAAATGCCTCCAACAGCAGGACATAAAATCACCCACAAGGACAAAGAAAAAAACATATATAAACAATATAAACAGAATCTGCAGGCCTGTCTCTCCGCATCTGTCATCAGTATTCATTACTCCTCCAACACAAAGACACAAGTGTAAAATCTGATTAATCACAGACTAGAAAGACATTCATGCTCATCTGAAGTTTGCCGAAAAGCTTTGCATAATCTTCAGGAATATTGGCAAATGTCCTACAAAACGCAAAGTATTTTGACAGTGGCATATTTCTCCTAAATCTGGAGAAAAACAAAAACATGAAATGAAAGAATGGTGATGAGGCTGACTGTTCAGTTTTAAAATCTGACTGAAAACACATTTAGTCATCCCCCTTTTGCAGTCAAAAATAATGTGATTTTTAATCTTATATTAAATAATAATTTGTTATTAAAAGGATGAAAAAAAGTGGCGTGTCTGTGTTTGATTGACAGCAGCTGGCAGGCTGAGCTCCGGCAGGGAAATGAAAGACAAAACTCACAACGAAGCTCATGTTACAGGCGCACAGTGTTTTATAAGCATGGGTATTGAAGAGTAAGGACCACACCAGAATATAAACGGACCAAAGTGATATAATGTCCTGCAGCTAATTAGCTATCTAGCCTACAAACTGACATTAGAAGTGCACTTTCCCCCAGTGAATGTTTGTTTATTGGTTTATTCAACAAATTCATGTTTGTCAATTAAATAAGGAGATTTAAGAGAGTTAAGCAATTTGATGGACTGATTGGAAACCTCTCCATTTATGTAAAATATATTTTCTTAGGAACCATTTTGACATAGTAGGGTAAACACAGGTTACCTGTGATACTAATTAAGGTCAAATAGAGTCAGGGTGCTGATATTGTGCATGTTGGCTCACTGGAAAGTCTCTGCGACACTAAATGGAACAGAAGCTTACTTCTTATCACTGCTACCATCTGTGTTTACCCGACTATTTCATGTCCAAATGGCTCCTGTGAAAAAGGTCTATCTGAGAACTAACAGCACCATCATGAAAAAACATATATTAAATATATTTCTCCCTTTTGGTTTCTTATATTTCTTATAGAAAGAGAACATGCAATTTAATTTCAGTCGGACTTAAGAATGTCTGTGTAGGACAAAGCAACCAAGGAGTCTTGTAGGTCCTAAATGAGGCAGCCAGTGGTTGTAACTGGACACATCACATCTGACCTCAAATCCAGCTGATCTTGTGTTCCACTCAAGTCAAAAAGCTCCAAAGCAAGTGAGGACTGAAGCTGGCTGCTGTACAGGATCTAGATCCAATGTGGATACCATGTGTGTCTGCTGATGTGTGTGAGCTGCTGACTTCAGAAAGTGAATGTTAATTAAGCTAAGTTAATCATTAAATAGAACACCTTTTGAGTTTATGTTTGTGTGTTTTTGAGTGCTTGTATTTTGGATTGTGTATCTGGGTCCCCACTTTTGTCTTGTGCACCACGCACACAGGTAACAAAGTACCAGTCACATGTCCTGCCAGTGGTTTCATACTGTTCCACTGATCCACAAGTGGCGATAATGCACCAACAAAAGTAGCAACACGCCGGCAAAGGCAGAATTGAGACTTAATGTAAACTGAACTTTTGTTTGTTTACAGGGATCTCCACAGGGCACCTTTAAGCACACTGCCTCTGTCCAACAGCCAGCAGTGAATCATGCAGCTGCAGCTTAATATTTGCAGACAGGATGCAGACAGGGTCAAGATATTCGGTTACTATTTGGCTAAACATTACAGTTGGTAAGACATGTGATCCATACAACACTAATTGCTTATCAGCTGTGTGTAAATTGCTACAGCATTTCTAGTTAACAGAGAAGGCTGCATGCAATGTGTGGCCATTGATATTTCTTTTGGTGGAGATGCTATTTGTGAAGTTCACAAACCAGGGCCAGACATATTTAAGATGAAATGTCTGTTACAAAAGTGCAGCAGAAGATAATCCCTGTATACATACTGTGTAACCATGAAGCAGAGGACACGTATCAGCAGGAGACTCTGCCTTATTCTCGACTCCTGTCAGCTTAGATGAAGAACGGGCAACAGACTACCAAAAATGAAATGGATGAGGAGTGAGAAAAGACAATGCATCAATTTACCAGCCTTCATCTTAGGATGGGTGTATTAACACACTGCCACTCAAACATGAAAGTGACTCCACTTCAATAGTCTATCGCTCTTCCATCTGATGTAGCAGAATTTGCAGGATGTATTTGAGGCTAAAAATCAGCTCACGACGATCTAGAGACAACGTGGACCAAAGTATTGTTTGCAGAATATCACTAAAACTATACCTCAAATAATTCAAGTTGTGTGTACACGTGCTTTTTCTCTCAATCACACTTTACTGACTTAACAACATCAAAGTCCAATTTAATGTTGTGGAGATAAGTCTTGATAATTAGCAGAACAGAGTTCACCCTCAAGGGATCACAACAAACTAAATGGCACCTTTTCTTTTCCTACTGGCTCATGGCAATGTTCAGGTGGAGTGGCAAAGTCTGACATTCGACTGAGTATAAACAGAGAACTGAAAGGGGTTGCCTCAATGGGAATTTGGTCTACTTGAAGCAAAAAGACACAGAAAGGTTTTATTTTTCAAAGTAAATTTATATAGGAAGATTGCAGAGCTTGATGTTATTTATTTTATTGACAGGACAGGCCAAGATAGGCAGGAAAGGGGGAGAGAGAGGGGATGACATGCAGCAAAGGGCTACAGGTCAGCCAAACTTTGCAGCAAGGCCAGCTTCACAGATTGTCTTATTGATAATGTGTTTTATCCTTCTGGTAAACTATTAATTCTGGATGTGATTGCAACTGTTAAGGTGAAACAAAGCCTGTGAAGGGTTACAGGGCTAGGGGATCGTATATGTGAATAACAGTTGTATTGCCGGCAGTTGAGTTGCATTGTTGGAAATGTGGGTGCCAGGTTTTAATGAGGAAGAGGAATGTGTTGAATAAAAAAGACAATATCTCTAGTTCTGTGTGGCAAATTAACCTCCAAAGTACTTATGCTGGACGTGTCCCCTTTTTTTAAGAATGTTTTTTTTGGGTATTTTGCCTTAGGTAGATAGTGTATAGTCCAGACAGCAGACACACTGTTTTGAATTGAAAACAGGATGTAATATTCTATAAATATTGTCTCAAAGTAGAAATAAGTAACCATGGCTATTCCTGACTAAACCCTGACTTATACTGGCACTACATAAAGGGAGAACACTGATTGTATGATTAAAATATGATTTGTAGCTCACATGCGTAAGTTACAAATAAGCTTCTTGAAATGTGCTTTTTTATGCTGAGTATCTTTTATGACTCAAACGTAGGCACAATGTCAGAAACAAATTTAATTTATTAAGTTCAAGTATAAAAGCAAGAACATTTTTATAAATTGTAAAACTCTGCTGTGTCACGTTGTTCTTCAGTTACACACTGAATACTTAATAAAAGTGCAATAAAGTTTACTGCAAAGCCTAAAGTTATTGCAAACATGGAGCGGGGAGGAAAATGTGTGGTCTATGTACATGCTGAAGGAGTCTGAAGTCTGAATAGTGGAAAATGTCAGGCACACCAATGTTTTGTGGAAAATCCATCCTGGGTGTGTAGCTGTCTAAATGACCATTAAGTTGTCAGATAAGTCTGAGTCTGAACATCCATTTGCAAAGTTTTGATATAACTCCACTTTACTCAGCTCTGAATACAACCCCCTGCTGCAGCTGACACCTCTGCATTTAACTTGAAATGCATTTGAACTTCTAATGGACTTCAAGCTTTTAAGTTACTCACCAGGCCATCACAGGTGCTTATGGCTGCGCTCCCTTTAACAGTGGCCTGATCCCACACGTCACCTAAGAAATGGCACCGGAAGGATCTGGTGGATGGATGGATCTGGGCCCCTTCAAGGCCACCATACCTCCTCTCCGTCAAGAAGCCCGGCGCCAGCAGGTTTGGGTTGAGGGTGAGGTTAAAGTGCAAGCTGTAGCCGCCATGCCTAAACTGGTAGAAGACTCGATCCAAGTCCGCCGGTCCCTCTGAGGCTTCCCTGCGCTGTACACGGCGAGCATGGTGAGACAGGAAGTTGGACAGGAAGTGACCTCTGGCATCCACTCTAATGGGGTGAACCACTTCATACTGAGGCAGATCTTGCAGAAATCTCTCTGTCAAAGTCATGGGAAGAGAAGATGTAAGAGATGGGCTATTAAATCATGGGAAAGGGGAGGGTAATTAAATAATTAAGTGGCTGTAAAGCTGTAAACAAAACTGGAGAAGCTCTAAACAAACCCATATGGGTGTCTAATCAGTCATTTTTATGTTTGAATGCAGCTGCAGTGTATACATGATCTGTTAGGGGAACACTGCTTCAGACTGCATTCGTGTCCTTTTACTTTTTACTCTCAGATTAATAAAGTTGGTGAAATTCACTCCTCTGATAAAAACAATACTTCATTTCCTGTGATGTGGAATAGCTGAATCAGCAGCATGAAAGGAAGTTTGAGAAAGAGCTCCCTTTTGTGAACAAGGGTAAAGAAAATGAGCCTAAAGAGGAGGGATTACCAGCAGCCTCAGCTTCTCAGTTCTATAGATATTGATGAGAACAATATCACTAAAAACTGTACATCTTCAGTTTATTGTTCAGTGGGGATTGAATATTGCTCAACATATCTTCTTAATCTTTGTCACACTGAAAAATCGATGTATATGTCAAGTATGTACTTCCCACACACACACATAGGAAAAGGTTTGAGGTGTAGCTTGAAATACGGGAAATAACTGACAAATGAATTTCAGTAGTATTTCCGATGTTTTTAAAAGATTGCAATTTTTATTCTCAAACAGGGGAAACCAAAGGACTAATATCACTGAAATTGCTGTGGCCAAAGAAATCTTGGAGCGACACCACTTTTGTTGATACCTGGAGTGCCTACTGTATATGAACAATCACAATCATTTGAGACCTTTTTCCATTCAAATTCTCTTTTTGAACCATGTGTAGTACCCAAATATCTAGACAAAGGTTGGTGTCACTTCACACCCATGTATTCAACATGCATAATCAATTCATTGCACATGAGAATGATGTTTTACGGTTGATTTCCACAGGAGCAGATAACAGCCGTGCTTACAATGGTTGTTTTTATCTCAAGATCACAAGTTAATTATTTCAATATCTCGAGAAAACAAGCTTTCTTGTCTGGAGATAACCACCTACTATCATGGCAAAACACAAGTTCGTTTCCTTTTATTACTTTTATATTCTTATTACTATTATTCTCTGTTTATCAGAGATTGAGAGTGCCATGCATAGCGTTAAATGTCGTATTATAGATGTGGCATTGATTAACCATGATGGACAATGCATGAATTCCAGTTAATATTCATTTTCATACTGACCAAAATCTCAATCTTCTCCTGATATGTGACTGTTTCACATTGCCAGAAAGATATTAGCTTAAAAGGTCCAGTGTGTAACATTTAGGAGGATCTATTGGCAGAATTTGAATATAATATTCATAGATATGTTTTCATTAGTGATTTATTACCTGAAAATAGGAATTGTAATGTTTTCCTTACCTTACAATGAGCCGTATTTAACTACAGACGCCACGGGTCACCTTTCTAGGAGGCGCCCATGTTAAACCGCCATGTTTCTACAGTACGGAATAACCAAACACTGGCTGTGGATCAGGACATTCACATTTTTCATGAATTTCAAAGTAGTGTCTCTTACACAGATCACGGCCCATTCTCATTCCCAAGTCGTCAGATACAGATGCCAGCGGTTGTCAGTTAACTGCAATATGAAGCGTCACCGCTAGATGCCAACAAATCCTAATCCAACGGTCCTTTAAATTAACTCTAAGATGTACGTTCTGCTAACAATTCAGTTCAGAGTCCTCCCTGACAGACATGACAGAGATCTTGAAGGCCAAAATCAGGAGTGATGAAATTAACTAGACACTGATTTTGAGGTTCTCCATAATTATCCTCTGATCATGAGTCGTTATCTCAAGAAATCAGCCTTTTGTTTTCTCGAGATGATGAGATCAATTGACTCCAGATCTTGAGATAATGACATTAAAATAAATAATTGCAAGCACAGCTGTTCTCGGCTTCCATTTTCCGTGTGAATTTTCAGATATTTCTGCGAGGGAGGTGTCCTATCATCAGTTTACTTTCTAATGTGGTAAGAATTTATGGAAATACAGGGAGCGACTTAGAAAGGGTGTATGTAGTTTGGACATAAAAAGTTATTGCTTCAACAAACCACTGAAACATGTAAGTTTTATAAGAAGATAGCAGCAAAAGAAGGCAACACAAGTAACCTTTTTCACCAGTTGAATACAAAGAGCTGCTAGAAATGATGACAGGAGAGGAAAACAGCTTATTTAAAGTCTAAACAACCAGTCAAACTACCATCTATTGCTGCAATAAATTATATAATAAAGTCATTTTCTGTAAAGTATCATAATATAATATTCATTCTAGCCAATCTGCACAAGTAAACACATCATACTAATAACTGGTGGCACAACAACATTTGTTTCATATAAATGTCTCATTTATTCTGTACAACTCACAGCACAAATAAGACAACCTTTGCCTGTAAATAATCTTTCAAGAACTCACTCCTAAACCTTCATTAGTGCCATTGTAAGCGTAATCTCATTCACGAGAAATGAGTAGAATGCAAATAATACCGATGCAAAAATGTTATCTGTGAAAATATTTGTGTGCACATCAGTGTGTGCAGTAAGCTCTGAAGAAGGTGTGTTTGGCAACCGGCTGCATGGAATGTCTCACTGAACGATGTTTTAAAAGAATGCACTGGACTTTCAATACTAAAGGTCACATAAAGTGTGTTTTACTCCTGAAGGCTTTCAGTATACCAACTTCTGTAAAGTCGGATGGAATTTCATTATAGATAAAGCAACAGCAAAAACTAAATAGATGGAAAAAGTGTTCATGAATCTGAATCCATATATGTTTATACAGTTGCATCATCAGGCGTGAATCATGACTGCCATCAGTCAGTCAGCATAACTGTCTTTCATTATGTGTATTTTGATGAAGATCTGGTTCCAGATGGAGATTCAAAACATCTAAATATTAACTGAATAACAATTCAGAGGGTTATACGATCTTGATGAGCGCTTTCTTATTCCATATGTGATGATTATTTTCATTGAAGGCATTTCATAACATATGAAAGATGTTCTCCATCTGTAATAATTCCATGTAGCATCTTAATTGATAAACACAAGACATTCATTTTAAATTGAAGACTTCGTTACAGCTTTCAATCAAGCAGCTGTGCAGTTCTCTTGGCCAAATGAAAAGGAATGTCAAATTTTATTTTAAATGGTTTATGTGCATCCACGGTGAGCAGAAACTGTAGTATTTGCAGAAATAAGACACTGAGAAGAAAACACATGGAGTTGCATTAGTAGCTAGGGCTTAAGGGGTATTTGTCAATGTAGCAACTAGGACCACCAGCGGTTGTCGAGTGGACTCAAACGAGCAACGCTGATCAGCCTCCTTTTGACTCTAAGTCCAAATTAGCTAATTACATTGGTGTTAGGATGGCTGGTTCCTCGCCCCACTTTTACTTGTGTAACTGACATCAGTTATGTATTTCCGTACCAAGTGAGAATAAGAGACCTCTGATGTCGGATCAAGAGGAAGCTTGTGCCAGTGCTTTTCTATTTTGGGTTCTTAGACTTAACCATCGGGATTCCTGTGACAACATTTATTACCTGAAATCGTTACTGTTCGGGATGTGCCTCCCCCTCAGACACATCCTTGTCTATAATGCTTGACAGCACTTAGTTTTTCCTTTCAAGGACTCCCAGCTGATTTATACAGGATGAGACAGAGTGCATCCAGACTCCTTGTTCGGTCTGTAATCTCAGGAGAGCACTGATTTTTAACATCCAAACCACAAAGTAAAGTGAAGCCTGAGGGGTTGAAAGCGCTGGGAGTGGAGGGAGGCGGCTGAGTGGATCCTACAAGGGAGGATTCATTCTCCTGTGTGATGACATCCACCTGACAATTCACACTTATAAAGTGCTAAGTACAGTGGAAACCCGCTCCGTTAAAACAATAAAGAAAATGCATCCTGTAGAAGAGAAAATCCTTTCCTGACCTTCACTGGCGAGGTCAGAGGTCAGAGTCAGCAGCTCTGGGATTCTGTATTTTGGCTCAAGGGCAGGGCAGATGTTTGCCTGCATGGGGCTTGAAACCTCTGATGATTCAATGGAAAGAAGGTTTCCCCCAACTACCAGAGTAGGCTGCAAAAACTTTGGACTTAATTGCTACGGTCAGCCCAAAACACTGTAAACATAAGTCACAGCTGGCCTCCCCTTCCACGATGAGGACTGCTGGCCTGGTTCTGCAGTTCCTGAGCTGAATCAGATGCGCTCTGAAAAACCAATGTGCACAACAAAAAGCAGCCACAGCACCAGAGGACGTGGCGTGGTCATGTATCCACGAATTCCACGCTTTTAAATGTTTTGGGGTTTTTTTTTTCGACTGACCTGGTTCATGTGGTAATCCCAACGTCCTGCAGTTTTCCAGGCTCATCAGAAGTGCGATGCAGAAGTGAATGGGAGAGAGTCCTTGTCCAAAGGCGTGACGCCCGCAGTCCAAACGGGTCATGTTGTCAGGACGGTAGCCTGTGTTTTAGAAGCATTTAATGCCTTTCTTACACCGCGTCGACTGTTAATTCAAATGATTTCCATCGGGGCTTTGTTGCGACCATGCACTTAAACTGTGACAGCCCCAACAAACATATCCAATTTAGACCTGAACATCGTCTGCCTCCACGGGGCGTTTTTGTTGCATTCTCAGTCTTATTGACTTGTTTATATGTCGGTGTTAACGTTTGCTTACGAGTCTCTGTCCCCTCTGTCCTCCATCTGTCTCCTACCGACAGCCAGTGACAGCTTAAAAACTTCTTCGGCAAACTTTCGCAGAGCCACCCCCACAGATGGGTGGACTTAAGACAATGGGCTATCTTTCAGTGGGACTGGAGGCTTAAAGGGGAATGCTACTCCAAGAAATTGGATATAGTGCTTCAATCCAATTGGCAGTTCCTCCCAAAACGGAGGTCTTTCGGGTTCAGTGGGTCAGATGAGGACCGGTTTCGGCATTGTTGCATTCACTTGGAGTCAGAGAAATGAGTGCCAGGGGCTGTGAATTGTCACCTCCCCCCGTGCACTTCAAGAATAAACAGACTTCTCTGGTGGAAACTCTGGGACTAAACCTCCATAAAGCGGAGAAGGAAAGTGGTTGAAAGCTGAATTCAGTGAGATTCCTGATGAGAAACCCTTTTAGAAACCTCACCTACATGCATGTAAACACAGCGTGTTAGTGCTTTTTAACTGCTGTCAGAGGAAATGCCTTAAAAGGGTTTTCATACAAATGAGAAAACAACAACAAGGGGAATACAGTTCATATTAAAAAATCCACATGGTCACTAAAGTCTACATCATTGTTTTACTTTAGTCTCCATCTGCCTAAGCTGAGCGCGCCCTCTAGCTGATGAATGGAGGCGCTGTGGATGACACTGAGTCAGGGACAATGCTGCTGTGTAAGATGCCGTGTAAGATGCTGTGTACCACCTCTGATATGTTAGAATACTCCTGGATTTATTATAGAAAGTTCAAGCACTTTAAAGGAGCACTGGCATTAACGCACACTGATCTTGGTGATGATGTTTGAAAAGATGAAAGTTTAACTCGAGTGCAAAATTAGATCTGCAATGACCTGTAAAAACCTTTGAAATATCTTCATTTCAACTTTGAAAGGTTTGTATTTGTGCCAGTTGAGTTGGAGCCTTTTATGCTAAACGCTTGAGGTTATGATTTCTGTATTTCATTTGATCTTTCTTGATTAAAAAAAGTAGTTTATTTACTCAATCTGACGCATTTTACGCACGTTCCGTGGGCGAGCTGCATCCCGTCACAGACCTATAATGAGCTGACATGGTGTGATAGATGCATATAAATTCAGACCAGCATGCTTTAGGCTCATTTCTGTGTCTGGGACTGTCACGTCTCAATCGACCAATCGTGGCTCAGCAGAGGAGCGACACACCTGTATAAAAGCAGACTCCGATTCATTGAAGCGGGATAAAGAGCTGAGACACTTTCGCATGGGGAGTCTCTGTTTGTCTGTCTAGTCTGTGCGCGCAGTAGTAAGCCTGGTGTGAGCGCTGGTTCTTGACTTTTAAAGATGGATGAAATATTCAACCACAGCGGAGCGCTCAATCGAAGTTCGCCTGGCGATGAGAAATTCAGTTTCGAAGACATCGACGTGAGCGCGGACTGCACCTTCATCCTGAGGATACTCATCTCCGTGGTGTACTCCGTAGTTTGCGCAATGGGTTTGGTGGGGAATCTGCTCGTCTTCTTCCTCATGAGGTTACGACAAGGTCGAAAGAGGTCCACCATTAATTTTTTCATCATCAACTTGGCAGTGACAGACTTCCAGTTCGTGCTCACTCTGCCCTTCTGGGCTGTGGACACCGCGCTCGACTTCAGCTGGCCGTTTGGAGACGCCATGTGCAAAATCATCCTCTCGGTCACCGTGATGAACATGTACGCCAGCGTGTTTTTTCTCACTGCCATGAGTGTGACCCGCTACCTGTCTGTCGCGTCGGCCCTAAAGAAAAAGGCTTACAGGAGGTCACGGTGTGTGAAGTGGGTGTGCGCGGTGCTGTGGGTGGCGGCAACGGTGGCAACAGCTCCGACAACTATCTTCTCCACCGTGACTGTGGTCGCTGGAGAAAAACTCTGCCTCCTTAAGTTTCCTGAAGGGCACGACTGGCTCGCCCTCTATCACATCCAGAAAATACTGATAGCGTTTGTCATCCCTATGCTCATAGTGTCTGCTAATTACCTGATGCTCCTGCGCTTCGTCAGGCGGAGGAGCATGGACAGCAGCAACCCGAAACGAAGATCTAGAGTCACCAAATCTGTCGCTATCGTGGTTTTGTCTTTCTTCTGCTGCTGGATGCCAAATCACGCCATCACCTTTTGGGGTGTCTTGGTTAAATTTAACGCAGTCAACTGGGATAAATCATATTACATGGTGCACACGTACGTGTTCCCGGTTACTGTGTGCTTGGCGCACGCAAACAGCTGCTTGAACCCGGTGCTTTACTGCCTGATGAGGCCAGAGATCAGGAAGATGCTCAGCGGTTTGTTTTGGAGAGTCTCCACTCCGTCCTCCAACAAGGGCTGCGCGACGCGCTCTTTTACGCACGGAGAAACGCAGGGAGTTGTACCTCTCCAGATCATGGACAATGGAGAGTACACGCTGTCCATAATAGACCGGAAAGGCTTAACAAGCTCCAAAATGATCCCATACACCCGATAACACTCATCTGGGGAAAAAACAGACCCCATGCAGCTGTTGTTTTTTGTTGTTTTTCGCTCTGGTTGTCCACCTGTAGCTTCCATTTGTCATGCGTAATGCTTTTCGCTAGTGTCCCAAATTTGAACATTTTCAACGACACACGGTCGTGTGTCAGCCATCAGGACATGGACTATGTATGACAAGTGTGTTGTGGCGTTGACTTTATCTTCATTTTTAAAAACTGTCACAAGAATACCTGATGATCACACTGATGAACGAGTCGACGTGCATTGAATTTCGCTTTCCCTTCTCGCCTTTAAAATGCGGCGGCACGTAGCTTTTCTTGGCGTCTGTTGTAGATAACTTTTATATCATATATTTTTTACTTCATTCGACAGCGATGATGGATAAGAAACACGGAGGAAAGAGAGACTGGGACCCACGGACCCCGATCTTAGACAGAAACGTTGGATTGTATTATGTAAAGCGACCTATAATTGATAACGGGATTAAAACAGAATCACACGATTGTAATGTTTTCTGAACATCGTGTAAAGCCTTCCGTAAATCTGTAAATGAGATCGTAAGTGGATGATTTATTTACCCTTCAGCCAGGTGCATTTATTGTGATTCTCTGCTTCATTTCACAAATCAATCCAATCACAATGTTAATCTCACAGAGCGTCTTCAGTTTTGTGTAATTTCTCTAAGAAGAGGATTGACATTCAGTGTTATATTCTGTAATATTTTGTGTATATAGAAATGTAATATCCAAAGCTGTGTGCTACCGCCACTGTGTGTACAAAAAAAGGGTATATTGTGTATTTTATTGTATATTTGCACTGTTTTTACACTGGAGGTTTCTCTCACATCATTAAAAAACACGAACGTGGCCACAACCTTCTGGTAATGGACATAAACATAGTGCTTATTCATATCATATTGAATATCTAATTACAGTTCTGAGCATGCTTTGTTACTCTCCCACTTTCTGCTCCTGGATCAGGGTTCTGAATGCTTATCCAAAGAGTACAGGAGTACTAAACAGGGCTTTCTGTTGTCTCCACTCTAGTTTATTGCCATAGAACCTATAGCCATGCAATTAGAAAAAGAGGCTGACGCATAAAATTATCACTGAGTGCAGATGACCTTTTTTCTTTGTTTCTCTGAACCTTGCCATGGACATCATATCTAAATTTGGCCGATATCATAAATCAATAAATCTATCCAAAAGCTCAATATTTCTAATAAATGACCATAGTTAGATTTTGATTGGTTCCCTTTAAAGTAGCTAGAGACTAATTTATATTCTTGGCTGTTTCAGTAAATATAATGGCCTGTTCAAATATGAAGCCATATGTTGCCAGTGTTAGAGAAAATCAGTGGTCACTGATTAGAACGAAGCAGGGAACTGGTGCTGCCAAATCTTCTGCATTACACACTGGGCTTCCAACATTCACAGAGTTATCTACTGTGTATCAAATTTCTATCAGATCACTGGACAATTATGAGCTTGAGATGGGACAGTTTGCTTGTAATCCAGTGTCCTTTGCGCACCTCACAGTGAAAATAAAGCCAGACAGTCAACCTCATTGTGAATGGCTTTGAAACTATGGTCAAAGTTTGAACAGGTGCTCACTTTGTTACCTATTGTGTCCAATGGGATATTTCAATCTTCATTCGAAGACTATGCTTTCCAGTTATGGTTCGGGAAGGGGCACCACTGTATAAGAGATATTGTTCAAAGCAATGACTTTATTTCTTTTGAGGACATCGTCAGAGAACAAGACATATTTAAATCTAATTTCTTCAGGAGCATAGAGCGTAGTCTAGACACAAATAGTTTTGTTTCCTTCCAATCTTCCCCAGTTGGTTTGGTTAGATCGAAATCTTGAACCTGCTCTGATATCTATTGTGCAGTGCAATTCAAAGGGACCATCTCAGGGAACAATAGGGTAAAGACTTGGGAGCTGACATTTCAGATGAAGTTTTGGCAGTTTTCTTTGTAAGACATAGGTTATTACAATGTGAGATAATCCACAGACTTTGAATAAGAGACAAAAATCAAACCTGATAAGATGTTCCCAGGAACCAACTTAGTCCAGCTGCTATCAAGACAAAGCCACCAATTCAATTCAGTTTTTTATTTTAGTGCTAAATCACGACAGGAGTTATCTCAGGACACAGAGCAGGTCAAGACAGTACTCCTTATGAAATTATTCAAAGACCCAACAGTTCCCACCATGAGCAAGCACTTGGCAACAGAGGCATGGAAAAACCTCCTTAGAAGAGGCAGAAACCTCTAAATATCAACCAGACCCTACATGAGTGTCTCTGGTCAGTCCGATGCATGTTTTCCTCCCTACTATCATGAAGGCTGATACTATTACCCTAAACTCTACAATCATACACAGATAAAGATTTTAAAATGTATTTATATTTATATTTACATTTTTATTTGTTTCATTTATATATTTGTTTATTTGTTTGCAGTGTTGTGCAGTTGTATGATGTTTGACATGTTGTCTTGACTCAATATATTTTTGAAAATTTCAATAAAAAGATTTAAAAATAAATTTAAAAACAAATCAGTTTGTCATCCTGTCAAACAGAGCAGGTACGTTTCTAAAAGTAGATTTTTACTTTTCGCTTTCAACGATTAAAAAAACATCTCTCTTTGAGCAGTGTCGTGCACGCATTGCTGAGTTTGACACTTGAGCAGTGCACTAAGAGGGAAACATTTTTTTTCATTTTCATCATGTTCAGCCTGTACAGTAAAGCTGAATGTGTATGGGGGGGTTAAGAATGTCTGCAGAGGTTCCAGCTGTCACCTGGCATACTGCAGGCTCATGCTGCTCAGATGAGTGAGCAAACCAAATGCTGAAGAGCCCCAAGCCGAGGGAGTCTCCGGGCTACAGGTGGCTGGGTCTGCTGCCAGGTTTGTGTGCTAATGAGTGTCTGTCCATGTCCCTCTTCTCTCCTCCTTGTGCCCTGAGGCCTTTTTGTTCTGTGTGGCCTGTCCATGATGCTGCAGGGATGGTGCACAGTGATGTCAAAGTGTCCAAACTGCAGACTTTTCCTTAAAGCAACAGGTGTTGGCAATCTGCATGTACTATGATTACTCCATATTGGTCTTCTATTGGTCTTCTTTTATTTATAAAACCCCAAATCACAAATAATTATTTTTTCTCAAAGGGCTTCACAAACTGAACAGCATACAACACCCTCAACCCTTTAAGCCTTTAACTTTGATGAAAACAATCCCCCCTGGAAGAAACTTAAGGAAGAACAGCAGAGGAGGTTTCCCTCTTCCAGGACGGACAGTAGCAAGCACTGAGCAGTGAATAATTGGCTCAATATCCGGAGCACTATTTCAATAAAGATGCATTACTTTAAGCAGAAATAATTCAACACAGTGCAGCAACTTAACTGAGATACGAGTAAAGTGGCTGTATAAGGGGTGGCACAGATTTAAATCATTATCTATAGTTCCACATTTTTTATGGTGGCTTAAAGGTCCAATCACATTTTTTTTGACCACAGTTATTACAGGTGAGTTAATAAAATATTCAAATATAATTAGGTTTTAGTCTAAATAAAGGTCTCACCATATCAAAAAACACTACTAATATCAAAAATGTAATGCTATGTTTATGTCATGTGGGGTCATAAAACATAGCTTGTACCTTTAAGTTGCTCTGATAATGTCCATGTCAAATGAAAAAAAAATAAAAACATCTTCAGTTTTATGAAAAATATATAAAGTCATTATGACGTCTCCTTGACATTTGGTGCCAGTTCAGAGTTCATGCCTGACTTCAGCTGTGAGATATAAATACTTCAAGTTATCATGGAAGGAAAACCTGGTTGCTTTGGCAACGGATTTATTTGATGTATGTAGACCAAGAAGACTATCCTTACACTTTATAAGAGAAGATGTGTAATTTCAACAGCTGAAAGGTTATATTCCCACACATAACCTGCCACAGAACGTATAAAGTCTTGCTGTAGGGCATTTTGAATTTTCATTGTTGCTCTTTTTCGTTATTGAAAAAAAAAAAAAAGTTCAAACTAATGAGGTAATCATGACCGACAATCATTATCAATCAGTGTACAGCAGGCTTGTGTCCTGAATTACTCCATTGATTAATTTCAGAGGCGGCGGTTTGACAGTGGTCACTGAGCAGATTATGATTCAAATATTTAGTATTTATCTTTTAATGACATTCAGCACACATGTTTATGAATCCACAGTAAACAGAGCACAGTCATCAATCCATACTCTGTGGGATGTTTACAGAACCTCACATTTTTTAGATTAAATTAACGTGTTTTGTGTGCTTGGATTTATTGCTCATCCTTTAATTCTGTTTGTGTGGCTGCTTTTTTTTTTTCCTTTGCTGAATCTTATTACATTTCCAGCTGCAACAATCTAATTTCTCCCTCAGGGATCAATATGTTTTCACTGTAGCACTGTCGGTGGCAGATGGTTAGCATGTGTCAGCTGACTGAATCAAACCTGCCTTCACTTGGACAGCTTCACTAAACCACAGCGTCACATGGTAGCTTTGTTCGTTCATTAAATCTTTTTTTAAACTCAGGGAACACCAAAAACCTCTTACCAAAATTCTCATTTGCCTTTATATTATATTTGTTATTGACAGCGCCGCAGCCCAAACAAAACCTGTAGGTTTAAAGAAGCTTTGCTCAGCATGTGGCTGCACAGTCCTTTTTGTTCTTTGTGTTGCTTAAATTAATGCATTGTGGTTTAAATGAGGACAGGACACGTTTGACAACCCTGTCAGTTTAATACTTTACTAAAACTGGCTTTAAAACACACATTATTTAAGTAAAGTAAGTATTTACTTACATATCTTACACTGAAGCTTTAAAATTGTGTTTTCTGATGCTGTTGACTTTTTAGTATCAGCAACAATCATACATCTATCTAATCTATAAAATAATTTATCATAAGTCCTTTTTATTCCAATCACAAATATTATTATCATGCTTTTTTGCAAGTCTGATCAAACTGACTGACCGATCTCTGTGGTGGTTTGAGAGACATAGCTGAGATTAACAGTATTTATTATACAGTTCGTACTCATGTCACGGTTCCCACCTCATCCCAGTTGGTGCTTCTCATATATATCATACATTCTGGCCACAGAGGTAACTGGTTCCTTCTCTAAAAGATAATTAACAAGCAATGTTTGAAAAGCCCTGAAGGTCGAAACTCACTGTTTGAAGGTATTTTTAGAATCCCCAAAGACTCCTCTAACCTTCTGGATGAGAAAATATTATGTCTGCTGGATGATTACAAATATTTTTTAAGGCATTTCCCAACATGGGCCTCTGTTTATTAATCAAAACAAAGATGACAGCCTGCTGGTTTGGATAGGAAACAGTCAGTACTCTCCCTCTGTATTAGATGAATTGATTTAAATAAATAACACTCTTTTGTGCAGATGAAATGCCTCAGGTGTTCGTTAAAAAGACACTCACAGACATATACAATGTTTTATTTGTATAACAGCTCTTCACACTCATCAAACAGGACAAACTGACATTCGTTGGTAACCCCAGGAAGGTGCTGACATACCGTAAGCATTGTGCATATACTGGACTCATATTAATCTCATCTGATTATCATTTAGTCACAGTTCTTCATAAGAAGTACTTTGTTGTAATCCATGTTGCTTGCAGTATATTATGCACATCCTTTTACTCTGATGCAGTGCATTTTGTCCTTGACTTGTTTCATTTGTTTTTTTTTTTGCTTAAGTTACAAAAGTAATGCCACAAACCTTGTGGAAAATACTGAAAACCATTATAATATTTGAAAGGGTATAAAAAGGTACTTGACTATTTACAAAATTCAAGTTAATTTTGTACAAATTAAAAGTGCATCAAATGTTTAAAGATCATCCTGCATGTTTTACAGGATGACAATATTAAAAGGAAAGGAGTGAACTTAAGAGAGGATGCAGGTTTAGAAGATTCCTCTCTTTAGAAAAAGATCAAGAAAAGTCTGTGTGAGTTAAACATCACGAATCTTCTTTATACTCTGGTGACTTTAGTTCAGTTTTGTTTCTTCATAAATTATTATGCAAGTGAGCTGAACATGTTGCATATAAAAATCTTTTAAACATCGAATTCAATATACAGTATAGTAACTTTACATTTGCGGTAGCTTTTGGGTGGCAAGTCACCCTTGAGGTTTTTCATGTATTTCAAAATTTACCATAAGAGTTAAATAAATATACATCAGGAAGAGACGAAAGAGTGATTGGCTAACGCTTGCCTCAATTCTTGGAACAGATCGATCAAAGCTCACTTCGTCCTTCTTTTCAAATGGCCAGAAAAAGCGCCAGAGCTCCAGCCTGAAGCCAAGAAAACGAGAGCTCAAAGATCTGTGAACTTACGACACGGAGGGCAATGGAATACATAAAGAAGGCCCTAATGTCGCAACAGTGCAGGAATGCTAAGTGAGTGTGACAGTGCTGACTCTTGGGGGTCAGGGGTCGGGGCGAGGGACAGATCCAGTGCACTGAACGAGCCTTGCTTCAGCGGTCATGCGGAGCTGTCTATGCGGTGCCACTGTGGTGTTGGGGAGCAGGGGGAGGTGGGTTGGTCCCTGAGTGTCGGGTCCCCTGTGGAAAAGGTGTCTGCTGGGGGCCCTCAACCTGCGTTACCGTTCTTCGGCCACTTTCCCATTTGTCTCCTGTTCGTCCTCGTCTCTCCGCTTCTGCCTCCGGAAGAAGCCGAGCTGACAGGGAGAACAATAAAACAAAGAGGAATTAGACCTGAGATGTTCATTCTTAACCTTGGGATCAGTGTGTGTGATAAAATAATCTGAACGAATCTTGAAGCTGGGGTAGGAAAAAAATCCACAGCTTTCAGCATATTGGAAATCAAGAGATCTGAGAGAAAACTAGACTTCTTCTCCTCCTCTTGGCTGTGTTTACAGGCTTTAGAAAATCAGGTCATTTCCTAGTCTTGCCTCTAGATCTCCACACTTGTGATAATATCCAATGAAGGGGCTTAGTTCACACCCTAGGTTTTTTGTTTTTATTTCTTTCATACATGTAGGGACCTCACATGGTTTAACTTTAATTTTATAACATTGTTTTCTCTCTTGGGGTATACAATAGACAAACTCTTCTTTTTAAGATACGGGGCACAATCTAAACTGTCCTTAGCTATACAAACACTGTTTTTATACCGAAATTCTGTGGTCATCTGTCAGTTAATAATAGAACAGTTAGTCAATATTAGATAGGTCAGATTGGACGTTATTTTATTCTCTACCAGTGGGTGGCAGCATAACCCTACACTGAAGTACTGCTGTGACTATAGACTATAGTTAGGGTTTAAATAAGGCCTATGAAGACTTCAGATAACTTCAGGAGAGTAAAGTTAGTTTGGAAGGAAAACAGTATACTATTACCTACTGTAATATTAATGATCTCTAATAGTTCAATGTCTTTATATCCTAATGGCTAATAACGGTGCATTATATG